ATGCCGACGGTTCATTTCGCCGAGAGGGGAAAAAAAAGAAAAAAAAAAAAAAAAAAAAGAAGAAAAAAAAATTGGCGCGCGATGCTTTTTAATCACGGTAGAATAATTCAGGGAACGCGATTTTTGTTCATTAACCGCCCGAAGTTAATCGGTCGCCCGACCGGGACGCATTTTCTCTTTTTTTTCTTTTTTTCTTTTTTTTTTTCCCTCCCCCGCACCGTCGCCGAATTTCCCAGCGAGGCTTTTCCTTTGATAACTGCGTTTCACGGTGTTAGCGGCGGTAATTAGCAGAGTGACATTGATGATTATTAGCCAGCGCTACGCGTTGCCGAGGATGTTTCTCTTTTCACCGCGTTGTTCGTTCAGTGACCCTTTGTCAGGATCGATATTCGGGGGTAGATAGGCGAGGTAAATTATAAACGGCGGACTCTTCTTCACGCTACCCACCTGCACACACAGCTGTGTGTAACCTACGGATCAATAATTCCATCTAATTTATTTTTCTAGCCGCGTCACGCCGCGAATCCCCCCCGAGGCCGGTGGGGAGAGATGGGGGGGGGGGGAGGGGGGAGGAGGTTATCAAACGCGTCGCCGCAGCGTAATTTCAAGCGGTGCTAGTTTCAACCATTCTCTAATCGGACCAGGTTACGACTCGAGCTCTCGACTACGCGCTTATAAGCGAAAAATTTACGAACAACATTACTTGCAGTTGCTCCCTTTTTCGTTTCGTATTTCTTCATAAGAGACGACAATTAAACATGCGACGATTAACATTAACTTCCTTAACTAATAATAACTACGACCACGAGCAGGCAACAAATTAATTTTTTGAATCGATTCTGCTCGACTGAACGAAAACCCTCTGGCGGGAGGGAGGTAAACGTACCGAAAAGCAAAATCTTTCCCGTAAGATTTGAATATTTCGATATTGTCAATCGTGGCGACACGGTGACAATTTCGATCGTTTCGCGATTGCTCGACGTTCCGACGATCGTTCGACAATCGCGCGCGCGACGAGTACGCAAATAGACGGATAAGAAGACGTCTGGCGTCGACGTGCGCGGAACGACGTGGTCCACGCGGAGAGATCACATCCCCGCGACTGATTTATCCGAAACACGAAACGGACGGAGGAAAGGAAAAGCCGGGGAATTCCGGGCTATAACTGGCCGGAACGAAGCGAGGAACGAGCAAATCAAAGAGAGACGAACGAACGGAACAGCACGTGCACGTGTGAACATTTCACGTGACACGCACGCACACGCATTCATGTACATGCACGTAGATCTCTAGATACGTAGGTGTGTTGTGCACAAACACACGCACGTATGTATCGAGGCGATTACATACATAAAGAGATGTATATATGTATATGTATATGTATATATATATATATATATATATGTACAGCATTGACCGGGATATCGTCTGTCCCGGGATGAATGAACCATTACGTCACGCACTTGTACTCTCCGATCCCCTTCCGCCTCTCTTTCCCTTTGTATGCTTCTCCTCGTCCGTCGATTCTGTCTCCGTCTCACTTCTCCTTCCTCCTCCTCCTCCTCCCCCGCCCCTCCTCTCTCTCCCGGTCCTCTGGTGCTCGCATTATATTATGTGCAGCAGCAGCAGGCATACCTTCCTCCTTCCTTCCATCGATTAGCGGCGGAATTCCAACCCGGGGAGGGAGAGACGATAGAGAGCTATAGTTTCGATGGAGGTCAACGTATCGCGGTGGCTCAGACACCCGGCAGACGTGTCTGCCGCTGTAAAACGCCGAGGGACGAAGGACGCGGGGATGAGAGAGTGGATCGCTTTCGTTGTACCACTGATACACTTTCGCGCTGTTACTCGTATCTTCGAGCGCAGGTGCACTGCTCCGCGCGTCCCTCTCCTCACTCTCTTTCTGTCTCTCTTCGCCGCGTTGCTACCCTTGCATCTTCCTCTTTGTACTCTTCCGACTGCGAATTTCTTGGAACTTGCTCCGAACCGTAGACCTGTTCCTTTATTACATTTGTGTCTACGCGACAAGTGAATCAGCATGCAGAAAGAATCTTCACTCTAGAAGATGATGATACGGGGATGGTTTGATAGAGTTCTACAGGTACAGAGAAACTAGTCGTTGTCTAGTGGTTGTTACGCTTTCAGAAATTATTTCCTACCGGTTGAGAGAAAGTATCGCAACACAAGCAGTAGAAGATAACAAATGATAGTTGTTGTAATTTAAGTTTACACGCAGGTAACTCATTGCGAGAGTTCTCGGCTCGTTAACCTTCCAATATAGGCTCGCGTGGCTCGCGGCCAGTCTCTTTCAAGTTGGGGTATAATTTCGCCTTGGGGCCGTCGCTGTTCACTCGTCCGTGAAAGTCGGGTTTCTTCTCCTTTGGCGTACTCCGTTGCATCCAAATGTCCAACAAACTTTTAGGCGCGTAGAGACTACCTTTGTGCAATTGTTTACCAAGAGACATTGACGTACTTGGCGGTGGTGACATCGGTGAATCGGTCGTCGCTCTTATTACGCTGGCTCGAGCAGTTCCGTCCTCTTTGCCGAACCTACGCGAGACGATGTGAAAGAACAATAATTAATGAAAATAGAAAACAAAAGAAATGTCGCGAGAAATTATTCCTACCCGTCTAATTCGCGCAACGCCTGATCCAATTCGACTTTGTCTTTGTCGTCTTTGCTCCGTACTTCCAACAGACAGGTTAGAACTTCAGAATGCGCGGCAGAGTTGTTTGCATGATGTTTCAGGAATGTCTCCAACTCTCCCCACAGCAGCCTGTAATGTTCCTCTCTGCGTACTCCACCTTTTCCACCACGGCCACCTCCTATACTTGGCAACGGTAATACCTCATGCTTTGCCTCTAACTGCAATAAACTGAAGATCACCTGTTTGCACTGTACAACTTCCTCTGCAGCGAGTTCTTCCTTCACCATTAACTCTGGCAATGGATCTATTAACTACAACGTACACAGTATTAAATGAGAAATTGTACAAGAATTTCTTTGCAACTAGAATTTCTCTGAAGCACGTACCTGTTTCAAATTGAACATGAGCGTACTGGAAATAGTAATTGGCCAATATTTTGTGTGCCGCTCTAGTCTGGATCTCATTTTCTCTGCTGGACCTTCGCTAGTGCAGCTTGAATTTCTTTTTAAAGGCACCAGTACGTTATTCCGCATCAATCTGCCAAAATCCTGTCACAAATGATATAAGAAAAAGTAAAATACTTTGGAGAAATGTCAAATATTGAGAGAAAAAATATTTACAGTTATTCTATAATCAGTGACGCGGCCACCGCAGCCTTCGCTGATAGAAGGTGGATCCTCCAATACACTTCTAGCGGTAGATAATGTATGTATGAAAATTTCCCCACCATGTGCAGCAAGTAAATGAGAAATAGTTTTTCCGCCGCTCTTTCTGGCCATTTCCAACATCACTGATCTACCATTCAATAAAAAGTTGATCAAACAAGAGGACGGTCTGCTGTTTACATCTACAGGTGTAATTCTATGCATAGCTGTGCAGTTTTGCATTTCCGCTGCGCTGCATCCTCGCGGTGTGCACCACTTTAAAGTCACAGTTTCATATTCTGATCCTTCTTCAAATCTCCTAAATGTCTTGATTAATGCTGAATCTTGTGGATTTCCTGTAAAATTACTTGTGCAATAATTTCACATGCATGATACTGGATAACTTATATCTTAAAGTCAATAGTAAAACCTTTTAAAATTGCTGAATGGGCAGCCGAGGAATGAAATATCTCAACGTCATAATTCGCAGACGAACTGGCATTCTGTTCTTCTTTCATCGGTATACCAGTTACGGTTGTACTAGCCAGATCATAATGAGACAGAATCAAATGGGACAATTTTGAATGTAATGCAGGTGCCTTGATAGAATGTACTTCTACTGTCAACAACGGTGAAACCTAAAACAAAACGTTGTATGAAATAATTCCACTCGTATGCAACATAAAATCATCTACATGCACGTGTGATGTAATAATCAATATACTTCTCTTGGTCCCTGACTAGTCACTTGCGATTCAATATTATTAGGAAAGATGTTCAGTATAACTAAGTGGCAATAATCTACAGGTATTAAACTGAAATGCAAAAGCAACAGCCAATTATTATATATACACATATATATTACAAAATTATATATTATATATATATATATATATATATATATATATATATGATACTATTTGCTATTGATATAAATACTAACTGATCTGAAGCTAAAGCAGTTTTATTTTCTTGAGCCAATTCATTCAAGAATATATTCTCCAAGTTCTTCATGTTGCTATTATCTCTTGCACTGGTGATGCATATCACCCTTCCTCTATTAACAAGCTTGCTAGCATTCTCATTTAATGATGTTCTTTTATCATGTTGAATCTCCGAGCACTCGTTAAGTGTCTCGATGGCTACTCTTAAACCATGTATAACTGAATAATCTTCTCCGGGTTTTGGAAGCTTTGTTGGTACTCCTAGAATGGCTGTGCCATTCATTATCTATACACGTAACAATTATAATCAAATATATTAGTTTTAAATGCGAACATATTGGACATAATTGATATTTCTTACATGATTTAAATTTTGTTGTGACGGACTCCATGAGTTCAATACATATGCTGCACGATCGGTTACAACAAATCTTATCTGCAAAGGAGGACAACAAGAATTACTGTACGTGGATTTTATATCTTACCATAACGATGAAACAAAATAATATACCAATTTTCCAGTTGGAAAGAGATCCCATACTATTCTACAATATTCCAACGAGGCTTCCACGCTGGTGGTCCATAAAGATTTGCAAACAGGTGCTAAAGGAATTAAGTTCTGGCCGCGACTCTTCAGAAAATCAAATTCCAAAGGAGCTTCAGTGGATATACCAAAGTATGGTGTGTGATCCAAAACAAAGATAGTCTTATGATTTGCCGGATACATTCTTCTACAGTATTTTAAAAAAAAAAATTGCCTTTTTCACGTGTGATGCATCGCGGTCCGTAGATTCACAGAAAAGAGCAGAACGCCCCGTTAATAAACTATATTATAGGTTAGGTTACAAAATATTTTGAAGCTATTAAAATTGCTTTCATCGCTATAAGGGTATAATAATTACACACAAACGTTTGTATACGTACTGTAACCTACTTTGTTTATTTTGATGGTAAACAGAGATGAACTGATTTTTATTTATTTTGTTTAAAAAATAATCATGTTGCTCCATAAATACAAGTGCCATACAATTGACTTTGTGAAACATTTAAATTACTTACGTACAATATTTAAAACAATATATAAAATTGATAAGTTAAGCAGACGATGCCGGTAAATCACTGCAGTTATTTAATAAATCTCATTTGTGAAATTTATCTTGCGATCTGTTAACGATTTAAACTCCCCGCTGAAATTCAACGCATTTCCGTTTTATTCTCTCTGTAGTTGGAATTCCATATTTTACGTTTAAATTAAACACTTAAAATTTAAAACAGTTAAAATTTAAACACTTTTCCAGAGAAGTTGTCTCAAAATATAAAATTATAAAAATTATACTTACAACTTCCACGATAAAAGCGTTAGATTAAAAAATAAAAACTTTCTCCCTCTCCGTCTGGTTTTAGCATGACTGAGTCAAGCAACTTCCTTTCCGATTGGAAGTCTCCTAGTGGCATTGATAACGTAAGTTTACTGGAATATTTTCCTTCATTTATAACGTTTATTTCTATAATTTATCTTTCTAAAATATGAAAAATTGTCAATTAAACGATAAAAGTTGCATAAAGATTAACTTTCATGAAAAAATTTATATCAATAACAAATAGTTACAATAAAGTTGTACCATAACCTCGTTTGCTCGTACACGTGGATTATTGTTTCGGTAACATGAATCGTTACTGAAACGTTATTAGATTCGTAGCTGTAAATACTTGTTCTTTATTAAATACGTTTCTTCGTTAAAACTTTATTTATACAAGATTGACAGATTGATTTTAATGTATTGAGCGTGTCGTTTATTTCATATCACGAAAAAAGGTTATATGTGTTAGCTTCTACCAAACTAATATTCCTTGTTCTTCTGTAAAAAAAAGTCGTTGTGGATGGAATTGATTGTAGATACATATTAAGATGAACGAAGAGCACATTGTTTATTCAATTCAAGCCAGTAGTTGCGTATGTTGAATTAAATCTATGTGTACATATTCAGGTTTACTCGTAATTCAACCACAACGTTAAGATGTCAGGAGGTTTAGACGTATTGACTCTCAAGGAGGATGACGTTACTAAAATGTTGGCCGCGTATACGCATTTAGGCGCTGAAAATGTCAACTTCCAAATGGAGCAATATGTGTATAAGAAGAAGAGCGATGGTAAGTTTTGTTTCACATATGGTATAATAATATAATTTACCTTACTAATTAACCCTTTCGTTACCAGCGCCGGATATATGCGGCATCCGCGCGATGACCTGTGTGTACCAGCGCTGGATATATCCGGCATCCACGCGATGACCTGTGTGTACGAGCGTCGGATATATCCGGCATCTACGCGATGACCAGTGTGCACGAGTATTATTATTTATAATAATTTCAAAGTCTCCAAATATGTTGTTATGTAAAACTTAAAGAAGTAGTGTGCACACTTGCAGCGCGGTGCCCCATTCAGTGGCGTCAGCTCTGCGGAGCGAACTGCGGTAACGAAAGGGTTAAAATATTAAATTTAATGCATTATTTTCAAATACAGGGATCAGCATTATTAACCTGCGTCACACCTGGGAGAAATTATTGTTAGCAGCACGTGCCATTGTTGCTATCGAGCATCCCAGCGAAGTGTTTGTCATCAGTTGCCGTCAGACTGGGCAGAGAGCTGTTTTGAAATTTGCACAGCACACTGGAGCTACCCCAATTGCTGGACGTTTCACTCCTGGTGCTTTCACCAACCAAATTCAGGTTGAGTGGCCAACATGAAGACAATTGTTATCTGTCCAATTAATTAATTAATTAATTTTCTGTAAATGACAATCATTGACAATTCTTTGTAATTTATTTCTATCAGTCATCGTCAATGCAGTTACAACGCAATAACGCTGGCAATTATTTTCAGTCTGCTTTTCGCGAACCACGCCTGCTGATTGTTACTGATCCGTCTACCGATCATCAACCAATCACTGAAGCCAGTTACGTAAATATTCCGGTGATTGCTTTCTGCAACACCGACTCACCTCTTCGTTTTGTCGATATTGCAATTCCATGTAATACGAAAAGTCTTCATTGCGTCGGTCTTATGTGGTGGTTGCTGGCAAGAGAGGTACTGAGATTAAGAGGCTCTATTGCTCGGGAAACCAAGTGGGACGTGGTCGTTGATTTGTTCTTCTACAGAGATCCAGAGGAGGTTGGTACAATTCTAATGTTATTTGTGCTTTTTTTCATTTAATATTTATACTCTCTATAAATGATGAAAAAATTGTAACAGAAATATATTTGCTGATTTATTATGGCTTAATCTTTGCTGACTGTTATTTTTGAAAATTATTCTGTATGTCAATTTAAATTGCCAATGAATAAAATATCGATATAACGTGTTCACAGGCTGAGAAAGAAGAGCAAGCTGCTAAAGAAATTGCACCAGCCAAAGATTTCACTGGCACGGTTGAAGTTGCTGCTACTGCTGAGCCCGGATGGGTCAACGAAGTTGACACGGGTGCGGTTGCCCCTGAAAATTGGGCGGATGACGTAGCAACGCCAACTGCAGCTGCTATTCCCACTGCTGGAGCTGCGCAAGCATTCCAAGCTAGCGGAGACTGGGCTGCTCAGGTAAGACTGAACTCTTCCATTTTCATTGTCAAGCTAAATTTAAACATTACTATTTATCATATCTTTCATTTTAGACATCGGAAGAATGGTCCGCTACAACGCAATCTGCAGCAGGACAAAGTTGGGGCGGTGCAACAACAGAAAAGTGGTAATTTCATTCTCTTTGATCATTTCTTACACTGACAAACTTTGTACGATGTGTGAAGAATAATAAAATGATTAAAAACTCAACCTATTATTTATTTCAAATTAAGAGTCAGATTAGAAAGATGCAAAAATAAAAGTATACTTTCTAATTGGCCTTTCATCCAAATGAAAATTTATTCAATTTACATAGATGTTTACTCCTTTAAATAAATATATTACAAATAGATTTAACAAGAAACTATAACAGTAACTATTTATTAATGCTAATGTTTAATAAGATTTTATAATGACCTTTTACTTAGATTGATTATTAACAATGAGAATACAAAATATTTCCTGCTTTCTTATTTCCTTCATTCTTCATTTTAAATCGGCGTCGCCGTTGTTAAACTCGCTTTTTTAAATACTCGCGCCGTCACAACACTGAAAAACACTAGCGTCACATAGCGGGGAACCGATGGAACTAAACGCTATTGCTTTCTCTGTCGCACACTGTTTCTCTTTCTTTCTAACACGAGTGAATTTATCTATCCTTGTCGCACTGTATCGCTATCCTTCTCTATGAAGGTGCTGCCATCTATTAGACCTGTCTGAAACTATATAGACAAAGAGAGGGATAATGTGAGACAAAGATAGAAATAAACGAAAGGGAGAACGTGCTGCCACCTATCAATTTTACCAGGAACTATTTATTAGTCCTTAGTAGATTTCAGTTCTAGCCTTTGAAAATAGATGGCGACACATGACATAACTCTGTCTTTATCACACAATATCACTGTCTTTGTCTATAGTTGCAGGAAAATCCCATAGGTGGCAGCACCTATTTAGACAAGGAGAGCAATAGTGTCGAACAAGGACAGACATATTCTTTCGTCCTAGACAAAGATAGCGATATTGCGGGAGAAGATATATCTCCGTGTGTTAGACAAGGAAAGTGATGTAGTGCGAGAAGGACAGATATATTCGCTCGTTTTAGAAAAAGAGCGAAACACTGTTCGACACAATAACGTTTAGTTCCACTAGTTCGCCGCTATGTGACGCTAGTTTAAGTTTCTGTAGCGACCTATAGTTCCTCGAGTACAAGTTTCGAACACAAAGCCGCAAGCGGCTGTGCGCCTAGCGTCGAAGTCAATCGATATTCGATGTTTTAAGCAGAGTGTGGAACACCGCTAGGATGGGTGACCATATTCAGCCTTAGCGAGTAGTTACAACACAAGCGTCTGGGGTAAGGGTCGCTGCCATCAACCCCATTGATGAGTCTAGGCAGCGACCCCTTTCCTCACCTTACCCATATTACCACCTCCTACATTATCCTCGCATCATCATATTCTTAATTCTTATTTAGGAAAAGGATTACTTAAAAGAATTAGTTTAAGTTTTTGCCGTTTTATCTTTCTGATTATACTTACAGCTTGTGTTCTTCATTCCATTCGAACTGTAAGATGTTTGAATATTCTTATTTCCTTAAACTGTTCAACGAACTTGTCCAATATTTTTCTTTATGCATTTCTCTGACTTAACGTACAATTGAAAAAGGAAATTAAAAACAAAAAAAGAATACACCAAAAAATCGTGAGCAAGTGCTCAACTTATTTTATTAAGGACAATAAATTTATACAGAACGTTTAAGCGATACTGCTAGCATTGGATGCGATCCTGGGCCACAAATCCGCACATTCTTTTGCAACAGGTCCTGTAATTGCTGATCCTTTCATTTCCCCCTTGTTATTCACAATTACCCCTGCGTTATCCTCGAAGTATATGAAAACCCCATCCTTCCTTCGAAATGGTTTCCGTTGACGTATCACAACTGCAGGCATAACTGAAACAAAGGATAAAATGTTAATATTGTTAGATGGTTACATAATTTATACAAGAAAAGATACAAGACTCTATATAATTAATTTCTAAAAAATTATTCTGATAGAACACGATATTATTGTGTTCATAATGAGAAATAATAGAAACATAAATCTATATAATGCTACAAAAAAATATTGAATTAAAAAGTGTTCTAATTACCCTTTTTTCTAAGTTCAGGTTTGCCCTTTTTGACAGTGGCAACTATCATGTCACCTGATCCTGCAGCTGGCAAACGATTTAACCTGCCTTTAATACCTTGTACTGCGATGACGTATAAATTTTTGGCACCTACAATGAAACATTTTAAATTATAACAGCATTTTAATAAAAGTCAAAAATTTTTATATAAAAAACCTAAATTTAATTAAATTGGACACTTGACTAGAGACAAATAATAATATAAACAATATACTGATTGGCATTAATATCTAAATTAATGTTACTCTACATTTTATGGATTTATTGTTCTTCTCATTCTATAATGCATTGTAATAATATGCTTTTGCTCAAATAGACAATTTAATTATTAAATTAAATATATCTACTCACATGATATACGATAATGTTCATCTTAAGTATAATTTTGAAATGTATTTATAAAAGTGTTACATGAAACAAAATGTTTGGTATTAATGAATTAACTACTTGTAATATTCATAGTAAAATTAAATCTGTGAGAAACAATTAAAATATTCGAGTGACAACTATCAACCATGTGTTGCGTTCGTTCATAACATAGCCAATTTTTTTAGGTTAGGCGTTATTTTTACAGCAGTTTTTCAGTTACTCACCAGTATTATCGGCACAATTTATGACTGCGCCAACTGGTAAGCCCAGTGATATCCTAAATTTTGCTCCAGCAGAACCTCCACGTCCTTAAAAAATAATAATTTCATGTTACTCGTTGCTATCGACACGTCCAACGCGGTACGATCCAATTCATTTCTCCAAGCTCCATCGTTATTAACGAAAAAATTATTTCTCCAACAATATACTGTGTACGTTCGTTTAATGTTTCCCCACTTATTTTGAAATTGATAGCTCATGTGCCGATAGATTTCTTTGGATTTTCTTCCACTTCAGAAAATAACTTACCTCTCTTCGACATTTTGTTCAGTTGTTCAAAAGAGAAAGAAACTACTGTTTACCACACATCACTCTTTGCGCAGCCACAAGCAACTTCCGTTGCGGGAAATATGAAAACTAAAATATTCGTAACGTTCAAACAAATTTCTTTTTTTCAAAAGATTAACATAATTACATTCACGTATTCCACAAAATTGAAAAAAATAAAATAATGTTCTCTCTCTAATATATTATTAATGCGTGTTTACGTGCGTATGTATAATCAAAATGTCTAATTTTTACTTAAGAATCTAAAGACCTTTTCAATTTATATTCATACGTTTTCTTTAAAGCAATTGTGTATTAATTAAGCTACAATTTGTATTATTAATTATCATTAAATAATAACTACATAATTTTCGTTCTGAACTGTAATACAAATTATTTATTTACATACAATATTAATAACTAATACAAATTTACTGTTCTTTTGCATTCATGTGTATATTATTAATAAATATAATATTTAATATTGTTCAATTAAAAATTAACAAGTATTAATGTTAACACGTACATATACATAAATATTTAATACATATAACATCACCATTTCACCAGTTACTTAATTATATTATAGTTATTTAAATAGTATATATTATATTATTTTTTTTTTAATTTTGTAACAGAGTATTTTATAACTAACTATGTAATTCGTTTTAATATTTTGTTCGTTACAATTCAATTCATTATAGGATACCGCATGACTTGTTTTGTCATTTGTTGATGTAAAGAAATTAAATTTCACATTGTAATTAATATTACGTTTATCCAGATAAAATGCCTTATCCTCTGTTAGCAGATTCAATCACTCTCGAATTAGAAGGTAAACTTACAAAACTTTATTTCAATATATACTTTGAATTAAAATTTTTAACTACCATAAAACTTAACCTAAGTTTTTCAAACGTATTATCAATTTATTCTCTCTTTAATGCATCTTTAAGTAATGATCAAATTCTGCCTCATTCGTAAGACTTTGTATAATTTTCTTATTTGTTTTTTATCTTGTGATTTCTTTTTTTTTTTTTAACTATGCAAAAGTGTAGTACTATTGCTTCTAGGCTCTAATTAATATTATTCTTCTTTTAGCACAAGAGCCATGGCCTCAGCTAATTACTTTGTATCAACCGTATGAGGTTGAACAAATACTGTTACCTGACAATGCAAATTGTTTAGCTGTACAAGCGTTCCTTAAAATGTGCGGCCTTGATTTTCAAATAGAACCAAGAAGCAACGCAGAATATATGTCTCCGTCTGGTCGTGTACCATTTATTAAGTGTGGACAATTTTTAATATCTGATTTCGACTCTATTGTAACATTCATAGGAAACAAAGGTACAAGTTTATCGGATCATTTATCTGCAAATTGTAAAGCAGATATGAGGGCTTATATATCATTAGTGAATAATATATTTATAAATGCTGAGTTATACATTTGTTGGGTTGATGAAACAACTTTAAACGAAGTGACTAAAATAAGGCATGGAAGTGTATATCCATGGCCATTGAATCATTATTTAAATTGGCAAAAAAGGAAAGAGGTCATTAAAAAACTCAATGTACTTGGCTGGTATAATAAAACATTAGAAGAAGTATGTAAGGAAGTTCAAAATTGCTGTACAGCATTGTCAGAAAGATTGGAAGGTAGTGATTACTTTTCTGGAGAGAAGTAAGTATAAATCATTGATGTAAATATCTATAAATACTTTATTTCTTTTTAAAACCAGACATATTTCATATCCATCTGAAAGTTTTTCATTGAAATATTATTGATTAATTGTTTTGATTTTAAAAGACCTACTGAAGTAGATGCTCTTGTATATGGTCATATCTGTGCCCTATCTATGATCAATCCTTCTCTTCCACGTACTGTTCAAAAGATTACTGCAACTGTACAAGAGTTTCCTAAACTTCTTGAACATGCATCAAGAATTGGACGAAACTACCTGAATAACTGTATGCTTGAATCTGCTTGTGACTTTGAAATGTGTGCATCTTCTTCCAAAGAAACCCTATGGAATTATTCTGAATCAATTGAAGCATTGCCACCACTTTCAGAAGATTCTTTCGAAATTCTCCTTTTGAATCCTTGAATCCTTTTAACACCAACATACATTTGTTGTCATATTCAAATTACATGAAATATATTTATTTTACCTACTAATTTATAGTTAACTATTCTTTTATTTAATTACATTTAGGACTCCTAACGAATTGGATGCCTTAGTTTTTGGACATATTTTTACAATAATTACAACACCTTTACCTGGTAACAAACTAGCAAATATTGTCCAGAGCTATCCATTGCTAGTGCATCTCTGCAAACGCATTGAAACTAGGTATTTCCAGCGTTCGGAAGATTAGGGGGAATTTCCCTCGGGCTCTAGATACGTCGAAATTATGTACTCTGATAGTACTAATATGAAGTTCCTGTGCTATGCACGCACTTTCGATAAAGATCAAAGTAAAAAATTAAAGCCAAGATTATGTAGTATCTTATAAACAAATATCTAAAGAAATTTTCTTACGCTTTTTAAAAAAACAAACTATAATTTTAAACAATTTTATTAAGCATTTATGATATATAATGTATGATGCATATACATACATATGTGTATCATAAATATACAAATTATAGTAAATAAACAAACGTTCAATGTATCTGAAGCCCGAGTCCAAAAATTAGTAAGAAATAGTAAATTGTATAGAAGATAAAGAAAAATATTGATAGTTAACTTGTTGTAGCTGTTAAATATGTAAATTATATTATCGTTGAACATAAAAGTATCATTGAATGTATTATTCTAAATGCATAATACTGCACGTGCCATTTTTCAGCATTTTTTCTCTTCAAGCGATAGGGGTGAAATAAAGTAACAAAATGTTGGAGGCGAGAATTAAGTAACGCAACTTTGGAGATTTCCAAATATATGTTCTCGGAAAACGACAGGAATGCATAACCAATCAAAGGTATTCATAAATTAGACATTTACAAAAAATATTTGTGAAATATTATTGAAAACGAATATATTAAATTATTGTTTGTTTCTTCGGCCATAATTGTATTTTCTATCAGCATTTATTTTTAATTTAATTAAAATCATTGAAAAGAATTATGTACAATGACAACCATTTTGTTATTAAATGCAACTATACGGCGTTAATTGACAATAATTTTTATCATAAAAAATGTATATATATTTAATTAATAATATTTGTTACTTTGTACTTTAAATAACTTATCCACATTTTCTTTTAATTTTATTTTAATTGAAATTCTTGTTAATTACATGAACTAAATTATACACATGTGTAAAAAATATATATATCATTACTAATGTGCATTAAATTTTCAATACACATTTATGTTACATAGATATTTTTTACACATAATAATAAAATTCTACTTCTCATCTAGTCAGTTCATTGTAGCCTATTTTTCTCTGTAAAATTGTGAAACATTAAATATTGTATGTAAAATAATATAATGATGTATAATAACAATGTTAATTAAATTAAATGTAAGTTATTGGAATAATGTTCGAATTTTTTTTTTCATTTTTTAAATTCAATTGGAAGATGAATATTAATTACACAATTGTGGATTATTTCCTATAAATATTAACGTATGTCTGTTACATATTTCTTGTCTCCAGCGTTTAGTTACAGTAAACACTAATTACATTCACCTTCACATTTTCTGTTAAAATTTGTATACTTAACAGAGAAAATGTAAATTTTCTGATTTATTTCAAAGTATTTACGTTTAATGTCTTTACGTATAGGAATATCGTTAAACAAACGGTGTTTATCTTCTTATTGCAACAATTTATATCTGAATATATTCATTCTTTAGTGATAAATAAAAGAATAAATAATATGAAGACTTACTTCATATGTAACAAGCATGTATTTTCCTCCCTACTATTATTATTTTTATTTATTAATAGTATCTTTCAATAACAATACTATGTGAAAGCTACTATTATAATATGCATGAGAATACAATTTGATTATTTATAAAAAAAAGCTGTTTGCAATTTGTTATTCATTAATAAAATTGTAAGAACCTACTTCACAGAAAAAGAAAATACATAGTGATTTACAATGATAAAATTAAATTAGTGAAGCCATTTTTACTATCGTACAATATCATTCGTAAAAGATTAAAATAATCATCTCGATGAAGTCTGAAGAAGTTACATAAATTTATATTGCAGCATCTTAACACTTTAGAGGAACTCAATAAATTAAAAGAATAAATAAAAAGGAATTTATCCAATACAAAAGAGTAGTACGTTCCTTTATAAGAAAGATTGATTTTGCACATCTGTAAATTCGTGATGTGAAATGCACATACAATCTTGAAGTATAGGAAACACTACAAGATGCAACATGTTTACGGTTTTACTAAATTGTGACGTTTCGATATAAATTTCTGGTTACACGCAGTTCTATAGTTCTATTAGACATAGCAGGATATAACTATATAGTTGTCACACGCACGCTCATACAGATACGTACACATCAACATATACTCGTAATTAAAAAACTATTAATATATATATATATATATATATGTACTCAAAAAACTTGTAATCTACACTGATTTATACTTGTAGTGCTCGGCTGAAAAATTTAAACGTAATCAGTATATTTTTAATATACTGGTTAAAAATAATCAGACTGAGATCATATTTATTTATAACTAAACTTGAATATAGAAGACATTGCATCTCTCCACAAAACTAAATATATATATATATATATATAACCATATAGTAAAAAATATTAACAATTTAACAATAATTATTTGCAATTATAAATACAATTATAGATAATAATCATTTATCTTAAATTTAATATTTATAGATTATTTTTTTATAACTAAAAATTGAATTACTTGTGCGAAAATATTTACCAGAAAATAACAAGTCTAAAGAAGTTAATTATGATTGTAATTAATGTAAAAATTATTTTTTGTACTGAAAGCATAAGCTTAATGTTAATGTTTTTATTTTTTATTTTTTTTAATTTTAATATGTACGACTTTTGCTACATATGAGTTATGCACAGAAGTATAAACTAGTGAAAACGGAAGTTGTTTAAAAGTGGAAGTTTGTATTTTATGTTTATTCTATCAATATATTTCGTTTCTATTCAATCAACTTACTATTTTTTTGCAACAAATAATTGAATTAACTATTGCAATAATTTCATCTCAGGGATGATATTAGGTATCTGCTTACCTTATTTTATAATTGTTATATATTAAATACTTTGCATATCTTTGCATACAATGAATAATATGATTGATTTCATAATGAAACTATATAATCTCCAAGAGAAAACAAAAAATTAAATATGATTGATTTTAACTTTTTAAATAAAAAAATTTAGATATCTACGTACACAGTTTGATTCTTTTGACATCTCTCAACTTAATATAATGCATCTATATATTTATATATATTTTAATCCCTTTTTATTCATTTTTTGCATAATTAAGGACATAAAATATATTTAAATTGAGAGATATCTATAATTTGCTATAATGTATCTGCTAGAGCAATTTTTATAATTTGTTTTTAAATAATTTAGACTAAAATCTTATTTATGGAATTTTCTCGTAATAATGCACGAGCCCTAGCAGTTTATATCTTGATTGATCTCTATGTAATTTATGAGAGAGCTTTATTATTTATTAATTGGTACCTGCCCAAAAATTCGATAAATATAGATTCTAGTAACTACCATGTTGTGATATTTCTTAACTAATTTTTCAAATATATTTTTTATATTAATCTTCGTAACAAGATTAATTTAAATTCATTATAAAGTACACTGAAATTCTATAAAAATCATAGTACGATATTTATTTTAGCTTTTATCGAAATATTTTTAATAATTTAACAATTTTTTATTGATCATTATTGCAAATTATAGAATTTTCTTTTGGCGTATACTATTGCACGCATTGAATGATATCTTACATTTATCCGTTGAATATATCTGTAAGATACATTATACACGTACCTATATAGGCTAGCAATTTTTGAAATGTTGATTTTGTTTTACTTTATGAACTAAATTAATCTGGTGGTAAAAAACTGAAGAGCCGGAATTGTTCTCTAATACGCGGTCTAACATCTCCACCCTAAAATGTCAATTAAAAAACGTCAATGATTGTTACAAATCGTTTGATACAAATTTCATTATATACTTACCCAATTTACTAAATTTTCTAAGAAAGGTAACAATTTCATTAATTCATTATCTGAACGATCAGCAAACCAACTTTCTATAGGAATACCGTTCTCTAACTGTAAAATAAATATTTTGTAAATCGAGAAATACAAAACTGTCCTTTTCCCCTAATATTTCATATCATTACATAAAATATCTTACCTGGTATCCAAATGCTTGTGGACTATTATCAATAATAACAGTTTTAGATAAATCTCTACCAAGTATAGATAGATCCTTGATATAATTTCCATTTACGCAAACACAGTGTTCTCTGAACAGACGATACTTAATCAATTTTCGTGTTGGATCTAATAGATTCATTAATTTGTTCGCATAAACTCGTTTACTCGCAGTAAAAAGGATTACTTCATACAATGATGAGACATGTTCTAAAAACTCGCGAAAATAAGGTCGTGTTCTGACAAACACCGTGTACGTTACATCTTGAAAGACAACTGGGAAACGGAATGCTGCATCCGAAAGTTCTTGCAAACTACAGTGTACTAATGTTTCATCCTGTATAAAAAAAAATTTTTTTATATCCGTTCGTTCATTTTCTGTAATATTTTTAGATTTTATTACTATACAATTATTTTGTTACTATATTATTTTTCATTGTGCATTTCTTATTGATAATTTGAAATACTCATACCAAATCTAACACGAGACTAAATTCTGGACTGCTACGTGTTTTAAGAGGAAGAGCAGGACATCTGGCTCTCATTGCTGGAGTCAAAGGTGGTAAATGTTTAATGAAGACATAAGGATCAAATGGTTCCCAATCTTCTTGAACATGAGTAACCATATTTTCCATATCACAACTTTCTACTATTTCTTCACTTCCAACTTCCATATATTCAACATCATGGTAATCGTTCTCAATATCATCGGAATCGTATTTTTCAGTAACATTTCCATTTGTGTCTGATGAATGATGATGACTTAGACTGTACATGGCTACTGTACCATACTTTGTAGTAGTGAAGTTTGATTCATATTTTGATAAATGGCTATCAACAGAATATTGATTTTTTGATAAATTACTATTGTTTACATTATTGTTGCCAAGTGCGTATTTTCCATTTGGAAAATACTTTTCTGATGAGTGAGAACGAGTGCCATATATGGATGTAGAATGCATTAAGCTATAGCATTCTGCAAGTCCATCTGTTTGTGTACAATGTGCGGAATAATATAGTGAACTAGTATCTATAAGAAACAAGTTATTAGTTGTATATGTGTTACAACAAAAAATGAACCATAAACGTTTTTATAAATATAAATACCAATACTTTTGCTTCCATCATCCAATACATATGAAAGGTCTGAATTTGATCCTATAGATGCAGGAGGCATTAGATTTGACAGAGGTGACACACTTGAAACTGAAGATTTGATGTCATTTACACTGGTTATGGAGGAGCAACATGAGTCTATATTCAATATAGATGAGTATAGAGATAAACTAGTTGTATTCCAGTTTTCCTTAGAGTCTTCAGAAACTTTTGATACTGTTGTACATTTTGCTGGCTAAAATATTTACATTTGTTTGTTACTCAAACCCTAATGTTTTTTTAAAACTACATTTGTTATTTTGAGATCTTTAAAACAACTTACAATAACTACATCTTTTGCAGAAGATCGGTGTAACGGAGTTGAAGTAACCATTGATCGTTTTATGCATTTTCTCCTACGAGGTCCTCTCTCTCGTTTATTAGGCGCAGATTTCGCAAAACGTAAAACATTTTCTTTACAAGCCTACGAAGATAATAATCTTTTTAACAAAACTGAAGTGAAATCTTTACAGTAACCAAATGGCTTCGATTGTAGTTCTAAGAAATCTAAGGGCATAACACATCCTTGAGAGTTAGTCAGTCACTCATTAACCGCTGATTAGTTAGAAAGTATTTCTTTTTAAGGAATAGTGAAGTTTGTTTTAATAAATGACCTGCAAAGATCATTTACAGTAAGCTAATGATAATGGCGCAGTTTGAAATATCATAAATTGAATGTTTTCAATGGCAATACAGAAAGATGCAACTATATGTGAGAAATTGAAACCGAAGGAGAAACAAATATTAATGCATACCTCTTTTAATAAATGACACCTATGTCTCCATCGAGTCAACCTACCACATTTGTTTGATGTATTAATGCGATAGTTATTATTATGTATAGATGGAAGTTTCCGTAAGTTGCTGGCCTGTACCCGATGATGGGATATTTTGGTTCCAGATATGCAACTTACATTTAAACGACCACGTAGTCTTCTACTAACATGTTCACTTCGTAACCACATTTCAGAGAAATATCTAAACAGCCTGAAACAGTACATAACATGAAACATTATTACTATTATATTTATTAAGATTAACAAGAAGGGTAAATATATATATATATATACGTAATATATTGTATATTTATAGAAATGATTAAAGATTTATTTGTTAATATTATGTTTATATGTTCACTTTTTTTTGTAAATACATTTTTCATAGAAACATATGAATTTTCAACTAAAAATACTTTTTTTTCTAACTATACATTCAAATATACGGAGAAATTTATTTCTATATAGTTATACTTCATTTTTCTTCTTTTCCTTTTGCCAAGCAGTTATTCAGAGTACATTATTTTTTTTACAATTACTTTAAATGCAAGCTTTGTAACAATTGATACGATACTTAAATTTGAAGATAATTTCAAAAAAAAATCATTGAATGCATGTATCTGACATACATATTTTTTCAATTGCTTTACATAAAGAATTCTATCCTAGAGTGAACTATTTCAAAAACAAGCTAAACATAAAATTCCTATGAGACAAAATTTTGTTCTGGAGGGAACAACGATCGTAACCTAGAATGAGAAATTAATTTATACATCGAACGAAGGCGTGTGGGATCATCGAACTGTCAATTATCAATGTTCCATCGTGTCTTAGAAATTGCGCGGGAAAGAAATTCGATCGTATCGCAAAAAGGGGCGTTTCTGAACTTTCGTAGTAGTCCGTATACATATACGTACACTCATACTCAAGTGTCACACTACGTACGCGCCACACGTACAAGCACACACGCTCGCACACTTGGAAGTATATATCGATTTATATGCAGTGTGATACTTGGTTATATTTTCTGGCATTCACAGAGGAGTAGCGTGTATTTTGCATGCATAAGGAAATCGTCGCCGACAGGACAAATAAATGACGTATCGAACGACAAACAGCAGACGATGCTCATTTTACTAGGGGGTTCTGTACATCGGGCGTAAATCGATCGAAAGTTTGAAAGTGCAATGTTGTGCCGCGGAAGCGGCGGCACCCAACAATTGTAACGCCTGAAAATTCCCGCGAAAACTATCCCGCACGAATAAACACTTAACTCATGTTTCAACTCGTAATACCGCTTACCATATCTCTCAATTAACAGACACGCTGATCAAATACAGAAGTAAGTCGGCACGCGTTGTAATCGTACGTGTTTCATTCAAATCCGTAGCTCACATTCACTTTTCATCCCCCCGAAACTAAACAATCATGGCTGCGGCGTCACTCGAAAATACGTCGCGGTTCAAATTCAATACTTCTTCGTTCAATGCTCGTCGGTCATCGTGAGTGTGAATAAAATTCTTTCATGTCGCTTTTTTAAACGAAAGCAACGCAGGAAATCATATCGTGGGAACACATCGCACGACAGGTTTTTTTGAAATTTGATTAATTCTAGAAGTTTTCCGGTCACAGATGCGACATCTACGTTTCGAAGACAATTCGTTTCAAGGTGCTCGTCCATTAAAAGAAATCGAATCAAGTACTATATTGTCAATCGTCCAGATATTTGTAATTTATACATAACCAAAAGTTATGCACATCAAATTGCAACATGTATAATAAAATGAATTTAAAACGTTAAAGTATAGCTATACGTAGATAGACAATTTTCTTAATCCTTCCTAAGTACATACATTTTGAATGTACCTTTTCATCTAACAATAATTTAAAAAATTAAACCCTCCGAATATAAAGAAATAATATGATGAACAATTACATATAGAGTAGAATTAGTTTATGTATATATTAATGATTTAAAAAAATGTTTCCAAAGCCAGAGTTTAGCGTTTTTAATTAGATTAGAAAGTGTTTTCAAAAACTTAATATACAAAATCTATACTGTATCAAAAAAGTCATTAAAAATACAAAGCCTAAAAATATATGAAGGCACGATTTCTATACAAAAATAGCAATAAATATTTCAGACTTTTATTGAATTTTTGTATGGCTATTTACATCATTGTATCATAGTTTTTTAATATCATATCATTGTAAGAATAGCGAATGATAATTTCATATTATTTATAAAATCTTACTATATGCTCTAATCGCAATTAATTTAATATTTACAATATGTATTAGAAAAGCCAAGTTGTACATCAACTATGTACAGCAGCATGGCATGTGTGTGTGTATATATATATATATATATATATATATATATAATTCATAGTTCATCAATTTGCGCTTAAACAAATACATATTTAACATAATTTTTGTATACTTGCTTCGACTTCCTAAGACTACATTTTTATATGCTATATTTCATTCAAATATAAGAGACCACATTATATTACTTTTGTTTTTGTTCATTATAGACAATAATGCTGAATGAACTAAAAATTATACGCAACTATTTATAAATGTTATGTCATGTATATAGCAGTTCTTTGTTAGTTTAAGATTTTACAATAATAAATTGAATAAAAAAAAAGAATTCTGTGGTCGTTTTCGTACAAATCAAAGAATGGAAGTTTTTAAAATAATGTCAAATATATAACTGAAATGATTGTTAACACATCAAATGTTAACATATTTTTTAAATGTATCTCTATATAAAAATCTATTGCAATTTACACATTTAAATTAAGATATTTATACCATAAAGATAAAGATGATAAATGTTTTTTACCTTTGTTGTATTGTATGCTAATGAAAAACTTCTAAGATTTGTCTGATTCATTTCTCGATACATAATTAAATAAATAAAGATTTTTAAGGATACTTCACCTTAGACTCTTTATCTTGCACGTGTACACGGAAGTAAAAATTTCATGACAAAATTTATTGCACATGTAGCCGTAGTTATAAAAAGTTTACTACTTGGTTGTGTAGCAAACATTATTATTTCGAGTTAGGAGTAAAGAATGCAATGGTCAAACACCATTAGATGTTGTGGTACTATGAAGTGGTGGTCTCAATAAATCATGGTATTGAAGTAAAGCTTCTCGTAACGATCTTGATACCTGGCCTGAAGCCGTAGCTATTGTGCATTCAACTAGACAAGGATACAGTCCAATCAATTGTTCCCAAACTGATCTTTCGACTAAACAGTAAAATTTGAATTTTATTTTTTTTTTCATGTAACATTATTTACAAATAAAACGAGGAAAGTTACGTATGGCGTTATAAAAACTTAAATTAAATACGTAAATTAATTTACCTTTATTGGGTGGTGCTTTTTTCAGAGAAACTACAAGTGTTGCAACAGCTTTCAAAACAAATGAAATTTCTGATAATCTGTACCTAGAAAAGGTTTATATAATAAGTACTTAAAAATTAATATGTGTATATATTACATTTATCTGTAATAGTATTATACAATATTTTTAACCAATTAATTAGAATTTAGCTTGAAATATTTATTTAAACTAGTCCAGATTTAGATTTAGTTTAAACAAAACTATTACCTAGGTAATGGACATTTTCCACTTCGCCTTTCGTTTTCAATGTATCGTCGCAAAACTTCTTGAAACCTATGAAGGAGTGCAGTGACTGCTAACCGCCCAGCAACACCTCCCTCATCATTTTCAGGATTTTTGGTTGTATCATGATCCGACTCATTATTTAGTCCATCCAATAAAGAAAACTGAAGTAACGTTTCAAAGCATGTCTTTGCAAATTCCTCTCTTAATTTAGTCTCCCCACTATTTTCTACAATAATAAAAAACGTAGTATTATATTTATAGTTCCTTCTTTAATAAATATAAAAAAAATTTACCAATATTTGTCGTAGTTGCAGAGTGTATAGAGCCTTTGTTTAATAACATAACTACTCGTAAAATAAATTGATGAGGTATGTGTTGAGAATGTGGCAAAACTTCGTCTCGTAAAAGTTCCATGACTTGACAATCTACAGCTTCATCCGCTTGAATTTCCTCGACACCTCGTTCTACATTTAATATGCTGTAAAATAGAGCATTAAAATATTACCTTCATAAACGACAAGCAACACAAAAATTTATTACTAATCACCTTTTCGGAAATAGAAAATCATCTAAAGTACTCGCTAGTTCCGGCCACATACTTTGAAATTGTTCTGGGTACTTTCTCGCTAAAGGTAAGCCAGTATGTAAAACAGCAAGCAAACTAGTAACAGCTAATTTCCAAGTCGTTGGTGACGGGCAAGCATACTTCATTGACAAAGGCACGTGTAACGCTTCAATAATATGTCTTAGAACTTGTCCATCTATGACTGCCATTTCATGTGCTGTCTTTTGATATAATGTTACAACCATCGATAAGGCTTTCTCTCCAAAAGGAACATAATTCATAGTTACCCAATCAGCCTAAATAAATAGATAAAAGATACTAAATAAATACTTCTCTACAAAAACAATGTCACGGTTAAAAATCGAAACTGAATGGATACATACAGATACACCTCTGATTTGGGAGATGTGTTTCGTTGGAATTTTACCATAAGTGGGGGCTTCACAAGCCAGCTTTGAAAAACTCAGAAGTTGAAGGAATATTAAAACAATCATTGTTCGCAAATTATCGGGTCCATTTAGCGCTTCCTAAAAAAAGGAAAATTGAAAAGAATAATTTTGAAACAGAAAAAGAATGATTTTGATGATGAAATAGATCATATACTTTTTGTAGAAGTTCCATTGAATGGAGTACACCATCTTGTAAATGAGTAAGGACTACGTCTGGCATTGTAGGTAAAATATATGGCGTTGATTCGCCATGTACTGGAACTGCAACTGCATTTTTTAATACGATGCAGAGTTTTTGCAAATCGGGACCAGTGAATCTAAGAAACAAAAAGAAAAAAATATATATTTTCTTTTCCAAAACAGGGATTTAATCACAAGAAAAAATTAGCAATTCTAGATATACTTGTTTCTGATGTGTTGAAAAACAGCTGGGAATATATGAACTAATGCTGTTAAAAACGCTTGTGACGGTACATAAGGTTCTGCTTCTCCTTCCTGAGGTGGCGTTGTACTTTCCATTCCAATATTAAGCCATACACGCCATGCAACAATCCATAATGCTTCGGAATCGTTTGACTGAATCACTTCGTTATTGTCACTTCCTTTTTGGAGATATAAAATCTCTTGAAATGATTTTAAAGCTGCCAATGATACCTATTATTTTAAATATATAATTTAAACAATTTTTTTTATATATTTACAAATATTGTACATAGATACACACACATACACACCTCGTTATTTTTACTAAGCGCAGAATTTTCTATAAATTCTAATAAAAGAGACCAAGCTCTAGGAAAATCGCCCAACATTTGCAATAATTGTCTTTTGGTATTAAATACTCTTCCAACACCGCTTAACGTCAATACCTGCATACAGAATAGAATTCAACAAATCAACTTTATTAGTACATATTTTAATAATATATTAATGTATTAATAAATATGTATTACCTGCGTTTCTGCCCATTGTTTCTGTGCTGTATTTCTACTGTGATGAATAAGTATGTTTCCACTAGTATCTACTTTTTCGCTACTGGCAGAATTAGATAAACTTCTTACTCTATCTAACAATGGAAAAAGAACCTGCCAAAGTACAGCTTGCCATGTTGGCTGGTGTAGCAAACTACCGTGTGCAGATATTGTAGAAAACAGAGTTTGACTAGCTGATTTGCGTACAGCGGGTCGAGGATCCACGCATAAGTCGCCTTAAAAATATAGATATATTTATAATTTCTCAAAAATCTTTTATCGTCTACATAAAATCTTTCAATAAAATATATTACCTAGTCTTGCGTATAAACACATCCAAAGTTTGTCAAATGGTGGCATATTTGTTGTACCAGGAAAGTCAGGAAATACAGATGACGAATCTCCTTTCAGAGATATGCATAATTTCTCTTGATTTTGATAAAAGTAATCGCTTATGTTCCACTGAAAAAATAATATTAATATAACACCTGACTAACTATAGTCTATAAGACCTACAAAGTTTATTAATTATCCTATCAATTTATTTTGTACATAATACAAAAGAATTGTAATAACACATCCAAAATAAACTTCATTTGCCTGATTGTCTTGATTTAAAATTTTTTTTCATTCAAGATATTTGTACTTCAGTTTTAACAATTTTAGATGCTTCTAATTTCTTCTACAACTTAATGCGTGCACATCTTTTAATTGCTCTGATGTACTTGCAAGGAATTCCATAATCTGTAATCGAAAGTTTCAGCCAAAAGTCACCGAATTCGCATTAACATGTCATACTCTAAGCCTTTTTCAAATTAAGAAAAGAAAAGAAAATTATATAAGACAAGTTTAACAAAAAAAAGAATGTGAAACGCTTTTGGTCATTCATTCTTACCATTAATCCGACAGCAGTTAATGAAATATTCAATTCTTGCGTCTGAGAACCAAATTTTGCAGCTGTGTCAACACAAAGTGGAAGACAACGCCAAGGCATCACTGGTAGAAAATCGGTTACTACCAATTGTAAACACTGAAAGGCTATTCGAACTAAAGCTTCTCTGTAAAATATGTGAATATATAAAATTAAAATAAATATTTTTTACTAGATCAGAATTACTATATAATGATATTTACCCATGATGATCAGATACTGCTCCAATGATACCAAGTACCAAAGGCCAGCCATGATATAGTGTTTCTCCTGCTCCATGTAAAACTTGTAAAACACATTCTAATTGTCGTTGTCTTACATCTCCATGACGAACTGAGGACAATTCTGATAATGGTCCTAAAAGTAAAGTCTGCAATTTCTGCAATGGAGAAAAATAAATTACATTTTCAATATCCAATCTCTATATGTTTGGTTAAAAAACTTAACATACTTGATTATCACGCAGAGGTTGTGGATATTTGTGCTGAAGTGCCATTTTTACAAGATATGTAATAGCTTCAACTCCCCATTCTCTCATACGAATATGTGGATGTTGGCATACTTCTAACAAATGATTTGTTAATGGTCTCCATAAAACCTCAACACGCGGTAAGTTTACCAAACCAGTTTCCAAAAGTTTAGCCACAGCAAATAGGGAGGGCTCCTAACAGAGACGTTGCAACGTGATTGCAGTTGATATTTAAGACTTTAATGCTTTTTCCAATCATATGATTATAAAATATAAACTACTTCGCACTTACTCTATTAGAATAAGCTAATTCCATAGCCTCGTGGCTTAATTTGCAAAGTGCGTCTATCAAATGATGTAAAGCAACATCGTCGAGATGTTGACTACTTTCAAATAGTCTGCTGAGCATAGCGCTAAGTACAGGCAAATCTGCCATAACTGCATTCGTAAGTACTGCATTTGGATCAGCGGCGGTTCTTCCTGCTTTCAAAGATCCTCCAGTAGAAGGCTTCAAACCAAGTATCCAGACAAGATGTTGCAATGTCGTAAGTACCAAATGCCACGCACCACCAAGTATACTTCCATGGCAATGTGCAAGTGATAATAATGCACGCATACATTGTAAATTTTTTGCCGTCAACATAACTGGACCTTGATGTGCACCTATACCCACAAATATTTTTTACATCAATTTTAACTGTAAGCACTTCTAAACTATTATTACATACCAACTGGCAGAGACGCAGTGGGTAGAGGAGTACCAACAGCTACAACTTGCTGTCTATAATCTGGTTCACCAATAGTCACATTGTACTGAGTAGATTCTTGTTGTCTTGCAGTCGGTATACCTTGAGGAGCATTGTATAACACGGTCAATGCATAATGAGGAGGCAATGACGCTTTGCATATCGCAGTGATGAATGCGTCACGAGGAGTCTGTAATTCTAATTGTCCACACAGTGATGCAAAAGTTTGGATTGCTTTTAATACGTTTTCCGTCGCAGATTCGTCAGTACTAAGAATTACAGAGGAAAGTTATTTTTATACGCAAAAAATAAATTCTAAATATCACACAATTAAAATAATTAATCGATTAACTCTTCTTACCTTGCATCTATAAGAGGACTTAATGCTGCTAGTAAACCACACCAACTAGAATTAATGAGTTGCGTATGAAGTTTTCGTTCGAATTCACTAGGTTTGTAGGATTGATTTCCAGTTACAACTTCACTGGAACCATTGATTGCGAGAGCTATGGACCGTATAATGTCTAATAAACATGCATATGCTATGCTTATTCCATAGCCAATAGGAATCTGTGGTGGCTCAACCTTATCAAGCATGTCCAGACTAAGAGTCAATTTGATCACTTGTATTAACTTTTTATTAAAAAAGAGAAAATGATATTGAAAACAACAAAAATATATTTACTAGGTTGACTTAGCTTGGCCACTTGTGAATGTCGCAACTACCGGCAACCAAATGCCGCGTGAATAAAAACCAGGTTGAGGTGAAACACCAGGTCCTATAGGCATTCCCGTAAATAATGGAGAAGCCGTATTTTGTGGAATCGTTGTACTAGTCGCTAATATCATAAATATATTAATATTATTACTAACAATATTTTATCACTGTTATAGCAAATTAAAACTTACTCATATTAGTTTGGTTCATCATTTGGGGATTAACAAAAAGGCTATGTACATAAGCACCTAAACTATTGACAATATCTTGAAAAATATTGGTTGCATGAGGTTTTAAGTCATAACATTCACAGAAATTTGTAAGAAGATCAGACTGTACTGTCATTTTATGCAAAACCTCCAAAGCCAAGGCTCTTTGCCATGTTGGTTTATCAGGATCCAAAAATTTAACAATTAAGGATAAAAATATTTCACATTCTGTCACCTAAAAAATTAAAATCAATATTTTAATATTTTTATAAAATTTAAATATCCTTTGAGATGAATACTGAAAGAAAGTGATACATACCAGAAGGGAATGATATTTTTGTATTAAAATAGAAACAACTCGAAGAAGCCGCATGCTAATAGGAAAATAAGGTTTATCTAAAGGTGTAGCTTGTTGCAATGACGCCGGTACCGAGTTGCGATATTTAATATTGGGGGAAAATAATTTTATTACAAGGGCGCACACTCTTTCCTTTAATAGAAAGCTAAATTCCGGATGCTAAAAGACATGAAAAATTAAACAAACATAATTTATACATTATAAATTCATTAACTGTGATTAAATACCTTGAAAAATACTGATGAGAAGTTTGTTAAAACAGATTCTAGCAATTCCAATCCAAATGTTCGAGTCATTTCCGTAATTCCAATTAACCAATAAGGTTGATCTGCATTTACTAATTGTACTAAGTCCTAAAAAAATTTAAACCCCGTTAAGTAAATTTTATCAAGCAAAATAATAAGCAATATAAATGTACTTACTTGAAACATTAAATACGCATCAGCAGCACAAGGTCCTAAACTCTTAGGTGCTTGATTGGTAGGAATTTTCAATTCTTCCAAATTTATGTCATCTGAATCTTCATTATCAGGACTTTGTTCATCTTCTGCTACAACACGCTCAAATACTAGTGACACTAATTGTCTCACCGTCGCTCCTGCCGTGTTAATCGTTGTAGAATCTTTTGTAAAATGTAAGCGAAAACAAAGAACTAAATTCTGAAAATAACACATTGTTTCTTTTTTACAAATTATTCAGAATGCCAATGATATTAAAATTTTCTATTCTGTAAGTGATTTAAGTTATTACTCTTGCAAGTGTTTCTCCGTGAACAACAGTGTTGCTAGTTAATAAAAGAGTTACAGTTTGTAAAACTTTAACTTCTTCTGTTCCAGACTCCATTAGCATCCATAATGTATCCGTGATGTAACGCGCGCCTTTTTGATCAACAGCTTGCTGCGTAATTAATTTTTGCATCATAGTTAAACAAAACTGAAACAGACAATGAAAGGTTTAAAAATGTAATATTTGTAATCATATTTGAAAAAAGAGAGTTCTTATGTACCTTAATAATTTTTACATCTTTGCTCTCACAACCTTGGACCAAAGGGTATAAAATTTGATTAACAATATAATAAACTGGAGCGCCTGAAGTGTTCGATGCTGTCCTTATTTTTGCAATCCCCTCTTCGCACGACTGTAATAAATATTAATGCGATATTAATAAATCCGCATCAGCTGTTTCTAATAATTTTGTACTAACCTCTAAGAGAAAAAAATAGATCATTTTCGTGGAAAACTAACCTAACTTTTTATTGGATATTATATAATAACGTGCAATATATTACCAAGCATTGAAGTCAACAACAATAACGTACCTCCTTGATTTGTGGATACTTCTTCTTCGTCTCGGAGGCAAGAACCTTCAAGTCAGTCTGCAGCGATTCCAAAAATTTGGAGGTATTCTCCGGGTTAGCTCCGACAGCTGTGCTCGCCATCGTGTATCGAAATTCCCTTTTCCGCAACGTTATCGTGAAAATCTATATCATCGTAAATTACGAACAGTTTCCCGAGAAACACATACTGCCATATGAGAACTGATAGCGTCTAACTGATAGCAGATGAGTTGGCACATCCCATAGCGATTATCAGAAATGACAACGGACAGGTGACAATCTCACGGGTTTGTCTTTGCGCATCTTTGAATTTACATCGCTTCAACAACACTTTACCGAATAAACTGCTTAAGGCCCTTTAACAGAGTCTCGATCGAACTTCTTTAAAAAATCTCCTCTCGCGGTTGTTAGTTATTCGCATCTTAGTCGTAACACACTCATGTAAATAATGAACTGTAGCTCGCAATGGCGCTGATAACTCGTATGTATACCGAAATCATGTTTTACCATTAACCTTGAACCAACTTATAATCTAGGGTGGAATCCTCCGTGCTGTAATCGTACGTGTTTTTCGAGGTTACGCTTACATATCCCTGTAATTTTTACTTTAATTAACTGTATATCGCAACAGTACTTGAAATAAAAGAGAAAAGTTATCCAAATAAATCCAAATAAGGTGTGCACGACGTGAACTTGTAAAACTTATTTCAACGAGTCACCACGTGGTGTCGAGGAGTGTACACCCGAAAATGAACAGTGGATCCAATCTTGATAGTTTATAACCCAAGGTTTCCAGTCGTTTCTTGAACGTGTCTCATGCGTGTCCAGCACTTTCGTCAAGAGATATTAAGTATTTTTTCGAAGCGTTTGAAATATTGCGAGGAAAAGTGTCGCGAGAAACCATTTCCAGCACACAGAGGAACGAAGTTCCTTACAAACTCGCGTACAAGCTTCGTAATCAACCCAATCTAAGAAACGTGACCAACTTGCCGAAAATGACGGCGATCACGGCAAGCGGCGATGGACGAAACGCTCATAGCCAGGCTTATAAAGATAAAAGTAAACCAACAGACATTCGCAGTAGCAACATTAATGCCGCAAAAGGTGAGTTAATAATGCCGCTGATGTATGCTCGAAGTACATCTCAATTTTTACCGACTGCAGTATTTCAATTTTTCCCATTGTGACAAAAATCTTGCCTTATATAGTCATGCTCAACGTACCACTGGATTACTGTATTATTTATAATTTAAGTCAGTATTAAAATTTAAAATTTGCAGTCTTAATTATTAAAAAACATTTAAGAAAATTAGACTATGGATATGCGTGCAATTTTTTAATTTTATCAACATAACTGCAACCAATGCTTTCTGAATGAAATTTTTACATTGATTTTAATATTTCAGCTGTGAGTGATGCAATTCGTACAAGTCTTGGCCCTAGAGGGATGGATAAAATGGTAACATTCGATAAATTAGAGTCAAGTTTGTTCATTCTTTGTAGATATACTTAGAATATTTTGTTTTGCACATTTAGATTCAAGCAGGCAATGGAGAAGTTACAATTACCAATGATGGTGCTACAATCTTAAAAGAAATGAATGTTGTACATCCTGCAGCAAAAATGGTAATTCTTTAATCATATCGAGAACATTAAGGAACTGTGTATTGTTTTTTTTTATACATTATTTATTTGTTCTCACATTTACAGTTAGTTGAATTATCCAAGGCACAGGACATCGAAGCTGGCGATGGCACTACCAGTGTTGTTGTCATAGCTGGTTCTCTTTTAGAAGCTGCAGAACGTTTGTTACAAAAAGGAATTCATCCTACATTAATCAGCGATGCTTTCCAAAAAGCTGCAACGAAAGCTGTAGAGATACTGACAAATATGTCAATACCTGTCGATTTGCAAGACAAACAATCACTGATTAGAGCTGCAGCAACTTCCTTAAACTCAAAAGTATACCTTAAAATCTTTATACATAATTATAAATTTGCAAAATTCACAAAACTGAAATTATGCATTCTTTTTTTTTTTTTTTTTAAGGTTGTCTTTCAACAATCGAGTCTTTTAGCACCACTGGCTGTAGATGCAGTATTAAAAGTCACTGAAGAAGGAAAAGAAAGCGTTGTAGATCTTAATGTAAGAGATATGTAAATTACATTACAATGGTAAATGTACTAAGTTCGTGTATTGATACATTTATATTATTATATTGACAGAATATAAAAGTAATCAAGAAGTTAGGAGGTACAGTTGAGGATACTGAACTTATAGAGGGATTGATATTTACACAAAAATCTTGTAACATTAATGGACCAAAGCGCATTGAAAAAGCGAAAATAGGTTTAATTCAATTCTGTATTTCTCCGCCTAAAACGGACGTAAGTATTTTCAAAGAAAGAGATACACAAATTTAAGAAACTGTAATCTTAAATACAATTGGAATACTTTTGCTGTTACTTCAGATGGATCATAATGTAATCGTGTCTGATTACGCTGCAATGGATCGTGTTTTGAAAGAGGAAAGAACTTACATATTAAATATCGTAAAACAAATCAAAAAAGCTGGTTGCAATGTACTTCTAGTACAGAAATCCATTCTTCGCGACGCTGTTAGTGATCTAGCTATACACTTTTTAGATAAAATCAAAGTTATGGTGATTAAAGACATCGAGCGCGAAGATATTTCATTCGTATGTAAAACGTTAGGTTGTAGACCAATCGCATCATTGGATCATTTTGTTGCTGAAAATCTTGTTAACGCAGAATTATGCGAAGAAGTACAAACTGGAAATTCTAAGTTTGTTAAAGTTAGTACATTTAAAAATTATTATTTCATAAAATACTAAATAATATTTTTTTGTTGCAAATATTCTTTTATATCTTTTTATTGTAGATCACTAAAATACAAAATCCTGGACCAACAGTAACAGTTCTTGTACGGGGCAGCAATAAATTGGTCTTGGAAGAAGCAGAACGTTCATTGCACGATGCATTATGCGTAGTACGCTGTCTAGTAAAACAGAAAGCTTTAATTGCTGGAGGAGGAGCACCTGAGATAGAGCTTGCACTAAAATTAGGAGCATATGCTCAAACTTTGACTGGTGTTGATGCTTATTGTATTAAAGCGTTTGCAAATGCGTTCGAGGTAAGTTGTAACGTTCTTATAGTCTATATTTGATACTGAATACACATAGATTTTTAACATTTTCTAAATATATATTTTTAAACATGTAGATAATTCCATCGACACTAGCAGAAAATGCCGGATTAAATCCCATTGCAACTGTAACGGAACTTCGAAACCGACATGCCAAGGGTGAACATACTACAGGAATTAACGTACGAAAGGGTTCAATCACCAATATTTTGGAAGAAAATGTGATTCAACCACTTTTAGTTTCTATAAGTGCTATCACACTTGCATCGGAAACTGTTCGCAGCATATTAAAGATTGACGATATCGTGAATACAAATCAATAATTTATAAAAAATGATATTTTAAACATTTAAATTGCATTGCATTTTTTTCTCGATTAAAGAAATGCCACTTTATACTAGATTGACTTTATAATATCTTTACAATTTGCTGAACTAATAATAAAATCAAAGCGTTTAACATTTTCAATTTTTCTTATTATTGAAAAATAAAGTCAATCTGCTTTTATAAAAGAATCTGTTTTATATTCGTTTCCTCGTCATATTACTTATAATAAAATATTTTATGTTATAACAATAATTAGTTTTCTAACAAGATTTGAATACCAATGTTGCAAAAAAGATTACAATATTAAACAAAATACATAAAGTACAAAAATTAAGTTTTATTATTTATTTTTACAGAGTATATAAATTTAAATTTTTTTTTATATCGTGTAAAAAAACAAGTATAATTCCCACATATATATTATTAATAATATTAAACGTATAATTTCGTAATTCTATAAAAAGACTATTTTGCTTGTTTTGTACATTATATTTATATATTAATGAATTGTCATCCGTTCTTTTATTATCCGCTAAAAATTTAAATGTTTCAAACATTCTAAAATCTTTATTATAAAATATATATTTAAATATTAATATTTAAATGCAAATTAGATGTAGTTATATATTGCACAATAAATTAACACATTTTATAACATATACAAGCATTAGCAATTGAACGTAATCGATTAAAAAAAAGTTGTTTGAACATTCATGTGTCTTTTTTGTTGTTTAGAGAACGGACGATAGTTTAATCGGTATACCCAATACAACAATAACAATCTACAACCATGTTTTGTAAATAATGAGATATTTCCGCTATATCGGACAAAGTCTTACGTCCTAAAGTAAAATTCATAAAAATGAGATACAATCAAGTAAGTGTAAGACCAAACTTTTGGGCTATCTCAGGCGAGTGGGAGGTTGCAACCGCAAGTAAAAGTGGTATATCCGCTGCATCAAGATCAAGAGCGTTTGTCAAATTTGCAACGCTGGCATCGCATACTTCTGTTGCTAATAACATTTCAGCTAATGCTTCACTTTTTAGCCACATTTCTTTTAATTTTGCTTCCAATATACCTATACACTACAATTTTAGAAAAAGGACATATTTTATCAAACATATATTTTGCAAGGAATTTTTTTCATACTGATAATTTAAATTGTACAATTTCTTACTTGTGAAGCTGAATGATATTTTCGCCATAAATAAGCAAAGCCTTCCAGCATATTGGCAACGAGCCTTGACATTCCAATCAGTAATGGTGCAGTATGCGAAGGCATATTATTAGAGATGATTCCAACATGCCAAGTATCTAAATCCGCTAAAATACAAAGTGATTCGGCAATTGGTTGATCAATAGTCGGAAAACGTGCACTGGCAAGACATTCTTCACGTATGCAGTACCACCATTCTTTATCTACTTCGCAGTTATCTCTGTTTTCTTTTTCTTGGACAATTTTCTTTTTTCTCCTTTTCTTCTTTTTCAGCAAACCTTGTAAAACTAGACCCCACGTATAAGACGCCTCAGAGTTATTTAGTCCCAGTGATTCTGTGGGTTTTATTCTGTTTTGCAAAAGGGTTCTTGTAAAACCTGTCTCTTGATATGAGTCAGTCTTTTTCATTTTTTTCGTCCTGTAATTATAAATTTTAGATCTTAGAAATTTTAATCTTACTTGCTATAAATGTTTATTGCAGTTCACGACACTAACCGTGGCATCGGTAATTCGATAACACTATTAGCTTCCATCAATGCTTCTAGACTGCTCGATCTTGACAATCCAACATTTCCATCACCCACGGTATTACCACAAGTGCGCAATACTTCTGTTGCGTTAGTCGGAGTTTCTAAAACTTGTTTGCAGCTATCATAATTTTGTGAAGGTACGTAACCTTGCCCGTTACATTTTTGACAAAACCTTAGAGATCGTGAAGCTCCTGGTGGGTGGATACTTTTGGACGATTCAGGGAAGTTTCTTTGAATAATTTTTCTTAATACACCTTCTGGCAATTGTGCAGACGTGCTCGGTACTCTCGTGAACATGTACGAACACTGACAATCGTATCCAAGTCGTGATCGCGACAAGCTTTTTACAGATTTTTCTTCATCACCGAGCGTGAAAGAAACATGGGAGTTCTTCATCTCATTGTCCGTACTTTGTCCAGTTTGAAATTCTGACCTGGCTGAATGTAATTTCAATGTATCGTCAAAGTCCTGAAGAGCATTTATCTTAGAATTCGTGTACGCCTCGTCTAAATCGTCATCTTCCATTTTCTTTTCAAAATTACGCAGCGAAAATTCAGGATGATGTTGCATGTCAGTCTTGCCCGAGTCAGTATCTTGCGATGCAATTTCGCTTACTACTATTTTAACTTTGCTAGATGTACAGGTTTTCTCGTCGACAGTGCTTTTTTCATTACCGTCATCGTCGCGAGGATACTCCTTCAAAATGAATTTCGTTTCACGTTCAACCGGTTTCAGCATGAACGAATCAAGATTCGATTCCATCGTGATGCTACGTTTAAGAGAGCTAATTGATCCTTCCGTTCCTAATCTTTCTCCGTTGTATTGAGGATAGGAGCGTTGCATAATGGCGTTGTTATCGTCTTCCGCGTCGTACGAGAACTCTTGCGCGGAGACTTTTTTTCGAACAGACGTGCGTAACGCGCGTCGACAAGTAACAGATTCTCGATCGTTACTTGTCGCTTTCATAGTAAATAAATGCGGACGTTTTATTCTCGCTTGTTCCAGAAGACTTGCAGCTTCTTGAATGTCTTCCTCAGTAACGTTGCAATATTCGTATCGTTTCTGTACTACTCCACTACGAATGAAGTATGACAAGAAGAATAGAACAGAATTAACTAAATCGATTTTTTGAGGATCACCCGCAACAACCGTGTGTGCAACTCTGATGGGATTACTTAGCGCACCGTACAAGTCACCTAATTGAGCCCACAATGGATTACAAGGATACCAGGTGCCTAAGTTCTCCATCTAAAAGTAATTACCTATTTGCTGTATTTTGTACAATATTTTTTTTCTAAAAAAACAAAGAAAAAAAGATTCTTTTTACCAATTGTTGATCGTGGATTGGCAGTGTAGTATATATCCAACCAAGATGATATGTTAAAACAGCAGTTACAGCAGTACTTAAAAAACTAAAATACATGAAATGTTAATTTCAATCTTATAAAGACTTTTGAAATACTTTTCGTCGAGATACTTACAAATTGGTCGACTTTGTGTCGATATTATCCAGCAACTGACACATCTGTTCCAAACTACGATGCAGCATGTTCATTTTATGTTCTATCTTCACTGAATTAAGTAGTACGTCATGCCATAATAAAGGCGTACGCGAGTTTAAATCAGCATTAATGTTTGTAAGTAAACGTAATAACGAAACAATGAGCTGCGAGGAAGATCTATAAAGACGTTCAGGAAGCTGCATTCCTTTATTCTGAGCATTAACGTTACTCGAGTCAATACAGAAATATCGCAAGCGATCTAGCATTCCTTCCAACAGAGCCATGTGCTCCAACAAACAAATTTCTATTCTTCTGCAACAGGAGAGAGAGAGAGAAAGAGAGAAATAATTCAAGATAAAATGAAATTAATGTCAAAACATTCATTGATAATCTCCAATTAAATTCCAACCTCTCATGGCCTTCGGCTAGTTGAACCAACATCGTTAATCCAAGTCTCGTTTTATGACGTTTATTATGGCCCTCTTTATTATCGCTTCCACACTCAGGCCAGTATTGCACTCCAAACGTATCATCAGACTCTGATCGTGCTAAAGAGGTGGAGGCTCCACGCAGCCATCTTCGACGCAAGCTTGAAAGACTACCGATACCGGAGGAACCATTGCTCTCCAATGATTGCGAACCTGAATTAACATTGCATTACATCCCAAACAATAAACAGCAACTTTCGACAACGGGTCGCTTCTAGCTTGGCTCAAACACCAAGATATATTCGGCTTGCATTTAACTTACTCCCTGTCGGTGGTGGTATGTCTATATTCCACCCACTACCGGTGCTGGAGCAAGTCGAGCTTTTCCTGACACCAGCGTTTAATTCAGTTCCCGATAGATTTCCAGAACTTGGTCGGGACACTAAAAAATAAAAATTACGTATCATCATATTCCAAATGAAACTATACGATTGAAGTTAATCAAATGCCGATATTAGTTTGCAGGTGCTACCTACAAAGTGTTCGCATACTGGAATTAGAATCCAAGTTCACGGAACGACCCAACCCTTCGTCCGAGACTTTCTCGCTAAAACATGATTGAGCAATAAATCAGACACTGTATCCATCTATCTATCTTAACGTGAAATCAATAACTGTCTTGTTAGGAATAGAGCTTACTTTTGCTGTTTGCACACGTTGTGCTCCGTAGCAGGGAAGACTTTTGTGCACATGATACAGGACGGCGAGTTCATCGAGTGAATCTTGAAAACGAACAGATTTATTTACAATTTCGATAAAAACAATATTTTCCATATTAATGTATTATTCTTACCTTGAATGACGATCCTCTGTACGTCATCGCTACGGTACCAAACACCATTTCGCTCAACAAGCTGATGTCCTCCTCAGCCATTCTTTCTCGCTAAAAAAATATGCAATTGTATCAATTTTAATTACGAAATTTTTTTTACACATTTAAAGATTAATCGAAATTGTGTGTCATTTTCTCGGTTATTGTATTGTTTATTACCTCGAACATGGGATTGCTTCCGAGGCTAATCGACCCGACGTTCGACGAATCGGCATTGCTTTTAATGTTGAACGCGGTCGTTTTACTTTTACACCATTTTCTCTCCAACGGGAGGGAATCAAAGAGGAGTTTCCTTCCGCGCCATTCGCACTCGCGGAATAACAAAATCCGCACGTGACCTGTCCCAATGCATAACGCGGAGTTTCTGCAAAGAAAAAGAAAAAAGAAAAATCGATTATAAAATTCACACGATAACAATGAAAGACAGACAAACAAACAGCCAGAGACAGACAAGAACGACATATATTTATATTATGCAAGCGCAAGTTGAACAACCATTATTGGTATATATGGCTTCGTACGCGACTTTGAGACGCTCGTGCAGTGACTTAACAAAATAACATCTTAATTTTAACTCGCGATCGTCTAATATTATACCGAAATGATATATGCTGCCCTTTCTTACATAACTTTTTAATCTATAGCAGGTGTTAATTTTAAATGTTACAACAATCCCATGACCGTTTGTCAAAAATAATTCCCCTGTTGCATATATAAAATTCAAACACAATCTGCATCGTTTACTATAAATACTTTTATTTAACAATCATTTTATAAATCGGTAATTTAAAAAATTATTAATTGTATAAATTATGAATCTCAAATTACACATATACGTGTGGATACATCTCAATAATGATACAACATTTTTTACCGCAACGCGATCCAAGTATGTAATTTAAATACACGCGTGACTGTGTTTAAATAAACGAAGAGGGAAACATACACGGAGATCGATTTCACGATCTCGATACATAAGCCAAGTCACGAGTACGTTAGTAACGGCAAGATTACGTCTCCCGCCAATGGACAAATGGAAACCTAACGGGAGAGATATAGGTTAAGTTCGATGAAAAATGCTGCTGTCGGGAAGATTTTGCAAAACCATACGTCCCCCGTTTCTTATTTCAACGGAAGTCGAGTCTTCTCTGACGAAAGTCGCGCACGAGTAGCTGTTAGAACGATATAAAAAGGACAATCGATATCGTACGATCGTGCCACGGCAGATATCGACGCGAATGAACGAGATCGATAAACGTGGATCAATGACGATACACGAGCGAACGAGACGAAGACGAAGACAAAAAAAAAATAACGTGTCTGACGCGTGTCCGTGAAAAGAAAGAAAAGAAAGTGCCTTTCTCACCTATCGTCTCCTTCCGTTCCGACATTCGACGCCACGAGCGTTTGCACGTTGTTTCTGAAACTCTTCCTCGAGGGGAACAGCTTATCGAGCAAAGGCATATTATAAACGAGCCGGCCGTTTATAGCTACCGCATTGCTCGCCAACTTTGCCTCGTTTTCGGTCTATCATGTCACAGGGAACTACACCATACATGTTCCGCGAGTATCAGTCAACTGTAAATAAAGTCACGTGCGGAGGAGTCATATGATTGCCCGAGATTATCGTGTTTCATGTCCGACATTCACGGACATCCGCGCGAGTTGTTTATCGCGGGTTGTTCCCGTTCCTCGCTGCCGCGAGATGGAACGAGTTCCGCGGCCCGTAGAACCGGTTCGGCGGAATCCCGGCGGCTTTGAGAAGTGTCCGCGGAAACGACAAGGAACAGAAAAATCCGCTGGACAGGGATCGGATTATTGACTGCGCACGGAACATACGCGTTTCGCCGCGATGCAAGTTGCGCTGTGCACCGCGAGAGCGCGGCACCAAGGCAATTATTGGCCGTTACGCGTTTGAAATCGCTCGAAATCCTCGGCGAGAAGCTGCTAAACGACGACCGATTGCATTTTATAATCCTGCAGCAACGTGCCACTTTCTCGAGCCATCATCGATGTCTCGTCAGAGTCTCTCGAGCGTAGGTTAAGTACAGAAACGGTAAACTTTGGAAGTATTTCAATGTAACTTGGACGATTTTCAGAAATTGCGATCTATATGTGACAACTGTCGGGATCTATTTTGTAAGCGCGGAGAGATCAGAGGTAAAAGAGTTTTGCCTGATTGTATTTAATTTTTATACAAGAGGTCGTCAAACAATACATTCAAATAGTAGGTATAGTAAATTTATTTGCAATAACGTATGATAAATTGTACATACATTTTTCATTTGAAATTTCGACGAGCTGAGTTACTTGAATGAAAGAACAATAGAAAATCAAATGTGACGGACAAAGATCAATTCGCGATCGTCGGGCTGTCGACGCACGGGAACATCAAAATCCACGTTCCTACGCATTTTATTGGCCAGTATAAGACGATGGACGTATTCCGTATCCCTGATATCTTCCGACGTGTCGAACGCTCGTTTAACGTAAGTTTTATTGGATACTGGCAGATACACTGGATACTCGATGTTAAACGACATGATCAAGCTTCCTCTTTCCTTTGGGTCCTCCGGTAATGGCAGCCCTTCCCCGGCTACGCGTTTCCTGTAATCTGGCCTACCTTGCAAAGAAAAACAAACACTGCAAACTACTCGTGTAACTGACAACAAAATGATCATCGAAACGCGAGGCAGTCAAACACATTTTGTTCAAATACTTATGGGCAAACATTAGCTTATCTTATTCGAAATCGAGTTTCAACACTAATTATGTCTATTTTTAGATTCGATTATGCAGAACGTAAAATAATTACACGAGGCAAGGGGAGTGAAGAAAGGGAAGTGAAGGAAGGAATGGATCGGAGACTGAGACTGTAGACACGTACGTGATGACAGACGTTAGTGGTATTCGAAGGGTTCTGTCGTCGAGGGTGTTGACGGTGACCACTGTTCCGGTCAGTGCCTCTCGCAGAAAGATATCGACCGTCATGTGCAAGTCAGAGCCCTCTCTTCGGAAGGTCTCGTGAGGCCGGTCCTCCGTGATGAAGATTACATCCGCTACGCTGACGTGCTTTCGACTGAGTAAAGATATTATGCGAGCCACTACGATTAACCCATTTCTGTCCGCTACGAAACGTACGATGCATTTTAAATGCATCCTTCGCGAAATTCCAATCGATATACATATATGTAAGCTAAAAGGCTGTAACGAACTTTCACGAGGATGGAAGAAATTGTGCGATCGTCGCGCATCGTACAATTTGATTTCATGATTTGTCGGGATTGGACAGAAATGTTTTAAAACGAAGTCGAAGTACTGTTTAACAATTTACCAGGAATTTTCGTGGGTCCTTGATCACCCTCCTCTGGAAATACTATCCTCGTTCCCGTCGGAATGCCTGGCTTAATAGGTATCGTTAAAATTTTTTCTTTCGTCACTGTCCTAGACTTATCATCCCCTACCAGCACTAATCTTTGTATCTTCATTTTCTTTATCCCTCCAAGGAAAACCTATTTACATTGGCAAGTGGATTTAGAACCGGTCGTCAGTGTGTGCAACTTCAACGAGTAATAATTTAACCAATTATATTATGTACTTCAGCAAACTTTCGTCAATGACGGATGAAATGGATTTATGAAAGTGTGCAAGTGAAAAAGGTACAACGTTGAGTCACACATTGTCTAACTCAGTGATTAACACTGAGAGAAGAAAACTATAAATAAATAAAACGTCGATATGGTACCTCCACTAGGGTTAGGTACAAGGTTTTTATCAGAGGTTCTTCCTTGCGTTTTATACCTCGACCCTCGGGAAATTCGAGCAGAGTCAGAGACTGTGTTAATACGTAGAGTAGATCAGCATAAGGACTTTCGGTACCGAAGAATTCCCTGCAGAGATGCTCCTGATGAGAAACATGTAGGTAGATCGGATCGTAAATATTCAAAGTTTTCAAGTGACTGTTTGGTTTTAAGTCGTTTGATAAAGCAAAGGATTAATGTAACCGATGACAAAGTTGAAGTGTAAAAACAAAAGGAACAAAGATAGAATTAGAACTTTATTTATAAGTATTAAAATGATTGTTTGATTAAATTACTTGTAAGTTCTCATCGGTTCTCCATGATAAGTGTACGGTTGAATAAATCCTTCGGCTCCAGGCACGCCATTTTTAAGACCTTCTTCGCCGAATTGATCGTATATAGTTCTTTTAAGAGGATCTGAAAGCACATCGTATGCTTCGGCCACTAAACCGAAAATAGTATTCAAACATTCGCTCTTTGCTCTTTTAGGATTGTAACGTATCGCTAATCGTCGAAATCTGAAAATAATAAAACACTTGTATTAGTGAAATGAAAACTTTACCGTTTCATCGAAATACAAATTTTATTTTCACGTTGAAACAACAACACGTTGTTGGTATAATTTGATCAATTAATTTTTTTTTTTTTTTAGATAAGTCAGTCTGATTATGAATATTTTGCAACATGGAGACGTCAACGTATTAGTCGACAGACACGAAAGAAACATACATATGTACAGCATAAAGTGACAAGCCTTTACTCACGCAGCTTTGATTTCCAAATCATCACAGTTTTTTTTCAACGATAACACGCCATAGTAATCTATTCCACGTCTATTGCACGAACAAGATTCGCGTGACATAATTTGTTTTATTGTTCACTTTTATCAAAAACTTTTGAAATTATTCTGTTTAGACGGGATGAGTTTTTATGCGAATGCTTAAACGACTATCTTCTGTTGTTATACGCATTCACGGCTGATGTCACGCAAGAGGGAGGAAAAAAAAAAAAAAAAAGAGAAGAAAAGTAAAAGGAAGAAAATCGCATCGTTTCGCAACGATTTTTCAAGTGTTTTCAACAACCAACGCGCCCCTCTCGACAACGAAATACAATCTGCGCTCGTTAGCTCTTGTAATTATTAAGCGTCTCATATCCGACATTTATTGTTGAACACTGAACGATCGTTTAATAGTTATTTATTGATACTCCATGCGAAAGGGAAGACACACATGGATGCTTCTGAATTGATTTTGAATCTCGTGCAGAAAGGTAAGAGAGCCGGAATAAATTCCATTCCTGTCATTGTTGCCAGAATTTTCAACAACGTTTGCGTAGAAAATAAACATGACGCGATACTTATAATCTGCTGTCCAACAGCTGCCATTGTGATCTTTCTTTTTTTTTTTTTTTTTTCTTAAATTTGAGAAATACCGCGTGAAATTAAGCGAACGAACTATTTTCAGCCGCGATTAAAACGGAAGTCAAGGAGAAGGGTCTGTGCGATCGGGAACATTTTCCCAAACGTGAGGACAGTCCATCCCCTGATCGACACGCCGTCGCCGAGAACTCGTTTTCCCGCGGCGTGTCCGAGAGATCGTGCGACGATTGTAAAAAGGAGAAGGCGAAAGGTGAGATGTTCAAAGTTTCCCTGACGACGGCCGACGATGATTTGGAGAACGACAAGGAGAACGTGCCGAGGAAGAAGATACGCGTGGAGGCGAGGCCGATCGGCGATAATCGTGAGAAAAGCAACGAGGAGAAAATCTTCGTGCTGCAGCAACTTGGTCGATCGCAGATACATCCAGACGGAGGTGGATTCCCGGCGTTTCTATGCATCGACGACAGGATTGCCGACACAAACGGGGTTAAACGAAAAATTCCACGGCCAGCGAACGCTTTCATGCTGTTCGCCAACGAGTGGCGTAAAAAACTTGCCGCGGAGAATCCACGGGAGTCGAACAAGGACATTAGCGTTAGGCTAGTTTCCCCTTTCTGCAGTATATAGCTCGTAATTCGTTTGACGACAATCTTTGTTTGTCAATTTTTTTCTTTTTCTTTTTATTAAATGCTCGTGTTGAAAATAATGCATGATTTTTCTTTCTCGGTTTTTTTTCTTTTTTTTTTAGATTTTTAATAGCCTAAGAACGCAGAACCAGTATGTAATGTTATAAATCAGAATGTTTCACACCGTGCAGATTAGGCATTCTTTGGAAGAACATGGCGAAAGACGTGAAGGAAAAATACTTCGCCCTGGCCCGGGAAGTGGATGCGGAGCACAAAAGGAAATATCCCGGTACGCTTTATGCCTGCAGTCTCTCTTCAAACCAATATGACCTCATTTTCGCGTTTGTAACGGCTCGTCGAAGTATATCGATACGACTGAATGTTCGTGCCCTGTGTTTGGGATAGGTACACGATCGTTCCTTGTATCATCGGCAAAGCACGGAGCGAAAGGGCAACACCACTGGTGCAACTTTATCTTTACAATATAAAACGAAACGACTGCACGCGCCGCGAAATGTTATCGAACATCGGATAAATTCTACAAAAGAAAAAGAGAAAAAAACGTTCTTTTTCTCTGCTGAAAATTTCTTTTCCGAAGTCAATCTCTCGATTGTTCAATTCTCCTTGGAAAATTCTACCTTACCTAAACCCTTTCCGGTTTATTTTTATTTTCCGGCGTCAGTCGAGCTCGACGTTTTTCCCAATTTTTTTTTTTTTTTTCTCTCTGAAAGAAAGAAGAAAGAAACAAAAAAAAAAAAAAAACACGGATAGGGAAGAGAAAAAGAAAATAGTTTTCAACTGGCGAAACTCTGCGAAACTATTTGCTGCGAGATACGAAACTGCGAATGTGTTAATAATCGACGTCAAGCATTTAAGGAGGTTTCCACGGATTTAGCAGCAGCGAGGGACCGCGTGCAGTTAAAGGCCGCGGAGGATATTTAGTCGCGTGAATGCTCAGTAACGCGGGATATGTGAGGAATAATCGCGCTTGTCGGTGGGTGTAGGTAGTAGGTAGGTAGGTAGAGCGCGGTCGTGTATCGGGCAGGTTCCTAGAGTCGCGTCGCAATCAATACCTCCGGTCTCTACTGTTCCCTCCCGCCCGTTCCCCGTCACTCACCCGAGAATATTTCTCCGCCTGCCACCCTGTGCCCTGTACCCCCGACCCGCAAAACTCGTATCGCTCTGCTATCCCACCCACAAATCGACGAGCTATAATCGCATTTTAGCTCCCCCGCGATCGTTCGCTCTCCTCCTCCTCCTCCTCCTCCTCTCTGCTGGGCTAATCACGGAATTCAGGACGAAAAACAACGCGCAAGAGGGCATGCACGTACGTTCACCCACGACGATTTTCATAACTCGTGGGGAAAAGAAAAGAAAAGAAAAGAAAAGAAAAGAAAAATGTGAAGATCAAGCGTCAGGCTTTAAATGAAACTTCGACCGAGAAATTACAAATTCGAAACTTCGCTTTCTTTTCGTATTTTTGCAACAAGGCTTTTAGAATAATCGCGCTTCTTCTCGCGTTGAAATGAAAAGAATTTTACGTACTTGGCGTAAATCGACGTTCAAAGTCCAGTCGGTCGAACTCCGTGGTTTTAATTGGCAATCGACCGACGAATGGTCTGATTTCATTGACCATTGATTATGCCGTTCCTACGATCCGCACGGCGTTCGGCATATCGGCTTATAGTTGCACGAATTGAGTGACATTAGATCGGCATCGTACATTAGGTATCGCGCCAGGGCGCGCATATTCAACTATTGTAACTGTTTTAATTAATAGCGAATAATCGGCGAAATGCCGCGAGATGAACCGACACACCGGTGTGCAAATAGTAATTGCATATTAGACGAGTCGATCGCTTTCAGCCAATGCCTGTTTTCGCTCTTAGCATAATTAATAATAACCTCTTCCAATTATTACGTTTCCACCGGTGAAACTGGATATTCAAACGCGAAATACCTCGACGAGGTGAAGATATATAAAAGGGAAATGAAAAATTTACGTCTTCTCCGCGGACGTAACAGACGAGTCAAACTTTCCAATATACTCGAGACGAAAAAAAATCAAAGAGACTTCGGCGTAAGACGTTTCAGCTTCGTCGGAAAGCGCGAAACGTTTCATTTACAATTACGTATTTTGCAGAGTCAAAGTTTAACTAAAGTGGAAGTCAGTGACACGTGTGTGTCCGTACACTGTGTATGAGATTGAGCAGAGAAAGAGGTGAAAGGATTCGGGTGTTTCTCTGGACAACGATAGCCACCGCCGCCAGCTTGAAAATGCCGATGGGGGAGAGTGGAAAGATCCGGAGCTGAATTCGCCCTAGGTAGACGACGGTAGTCGCGCAATCGACGCATGGTGGGCCAGCGCGTAGCCGAGCAAGCCGAGCGGTCAATTAAGATCACCGGAAAGTGTCGATATGCTCTGCGCGAGCGTCCGAGGACTCGCGTGCATCTGCGCGACTGCATCGCACGCGTGACGAGGAAAAAGAGGGGTGACGCACGGTCGCGCCAAGGGAAGCCGTCAAAATGTCGAGGCTCGTGCATCCAGCGGGCATATCGAGCCAAAGACACGCGGGGGAGGAGTGTCTCTCCCTCTCCCTCTCTCTCTCTCTCTCTCGCTCGCCTCCCTCCGGTGTGTAACGATCGTCGGTCATCGATCCGCTATCGCATCGACGCTCGGTTGCTCGAGAAAACGAGAGCCTCCCGCCGCTGCGAACGTCACGCAGATTTTCCTTGAAAAGTACGGCCCGAGGATCGATCAGGCGACGTCTATCTTGCCGTTTGATTACCGCTGGAATTTTAGAATCGATAGAAATTATATATATATACATACATATGTCTTTAGAAAAACACGCAGCGCGTATCATCTATTATTGCAGTACTGGATTTGTTATAGCTTTGAAAGTTCAGAAGTTTAGAAGAAGCCTAGAATCGTATAGAGTTTGGCTTCTAAATGTAACAATTCTGAGATTCTTTTGTTTCATCATCGTTTGCTGAATTGATTTTCACTGATTGCCCCATTCCGAATTAGTCGAAAATGAGCGCAGCGGGTGTACCTGTACGGCGCAGTGGAAAAAAAAAATTTCCGCAACCGCCCCCGTGAAAAAAATTGCCGCAGTCCTCGTGCAACGCGGTAGATAAATTCCAAAGTGCAGCGAGAAACGGTGGGGATCGTCCACTTGTGCACGAACTTTCCTCGGCGGTTTAGGTATGCTTTTCACAACAGGGAGAAAGAAAAGGAAGAAAACAGAACGACGACCGTTACCACTCGCCGATTACCGTTTCTAACGACAAGCTCAAATTCCAGATGCAGACGAACGATGCTGACGAATGTCACCGGGATAAAGGGGAGAAACTGCAAATGAAACAGGCAGTTTCAAAACAGCAATGGGAAAATGACAGCGATGCCTGTGTCTATGAAATTGCGATCCGATCTGAGAGAGAGAGAAAAAAATAGAGAGAAAGAGAGAGAGAGAGAGGCGATATGGACCAGTACACAGCAGCCGGAGCAAACGATCCGATTTAAAAGGCGAGTTCGAACTCCGGGGGTAATCGATGAGAGTCACCGAGTGGAGGGACGACGGTAGCAAGAATAACACGACACCTCGATCAACTCTTCTCTCAACGTTCAACAAAAAAACACGTTCAATTTCAAGTGAGACGGATCTCATCTGACGAAGGGAAGATCAACGAGAAGAGCAGAAGCTTGCGCGAATCGATAGCCGACGAAAAAAGGGGGTTTTCTTGGTGATATTTTGCGCAGGGATCCGGAGCAGGGACGTCGGAGGCCGGAACTCTTTTCGTTCACCTCGTGGCTCACCGAACGCCTCCTCGCCTCGCCAGGGCGAGGGTGGGGTGCGGCGGGGTGGAACGAGGGGCAGAGGAGGGGAAAAAGCCACCCTCTTGCTAGACCTGAGTGCTCCCCTGTCCTCCCTCTCTCTCTCTCCCTCCCTCCCTCCCTCCCTCTCTCTCCTCCTCGCCCCTCTCGGTGCTCCGTCGTGGACTCGTCGATGACGAAACGCACACGTAAATTTGTGGACGTGCACGGTGCTGCCGCTCGCGAAATCAGTGCGACCCAAGTGCACCGCGAGGCAGGAACGCGGGTCTCCCGTGCGCGGCCTGTCGTTCCCGCTTGCGGCACGCGCGCCTCTTCCACCAGGAGTATCGGTCAGACAGCGGAAGACGCTCGGCGTAAATAGGTCGCTGGATAACCGTCGGTTTACTCGCGTCGGTTTACTCGACTACTCGGGTAAACAGCCGGAAAGGGGGAAATCGGTCGTGGAAACTAACCACGGAGGGAAGAGCGAGATCATTGACAGATGGTGATGGAAAAACCGTGTCCGGGAGGGAAAAAGTGACTGCGGGAATCGTCGATCCAACGCTCGGGGGAGAGGGAGAGAGAGAGAGAGAGAGAGAGAGAGAGAGAGAAAGAGAAAGAGAGAGAACACATAAACTCGAATATGAAAAACGTGCTAGATTGATGCCAGTAATTGGCTGAAATGACTGACGTTATGTTTAGATGTAGTCGAAGTGACTGAGCAAACATCGTGAACGAGAGAGAATGACTGGGAAAGGGAGAGCGATCAGTGCGTTAAACATTTGCAGTTTTTGCATTGGAGATTAGGTGTACGTGAGAGATTGGGTGTCGCTTCTTTTCTTTTTTTCTTTCCCCCCTTCCCCCTCTTTCTCTCTCTCTCTCTCTCTCTCGCTCTCTTTCTCTCTTTCGTTTGGTGAATCAGCATGATGCCAGTGACGTTGAAAAACAAATAGGATGCGAGTGGACGGGAGGGGCCGATCTTTCTTTGTTTAAATTGGAAAGAAATGATGAAGACTGAATGGAGGATGACGCACTCGCTACGATGAACTTACCGTAAGCTGTAACAATGTGCAGAGGCCGATGGTAAAGTTTGCCGAGGGGAGAAACAATTGGAAACCGAATTTTTTGCTCCACGGGGAGGAGGCGCGAAACAAGCTGTTGACATCGATCGCTGATAAAGGGACGTGAGTTGGAGAGAGAATGCGTAACGATCGAGCGAATTAGCAGGGAAAAAAAAAAGAAAGAACGGGCGCGTGGGTGGTGATGAAAGAAGAGCAAGAGCTTCGAACGTCGATGTTGCAGTTGCTGTGACGCAGCACCTCCGAGTATTGCGTTCCGCGTATTGTCCAGCGTGGAATCGTCGACGAATCGTCTGACCGGATCGAGATCGGGGGTTGCTGCCACGCCAGTGGTTAGTTAGTTAGTTTTCGAAAGGGGAATCGGACCGAGTGGCTGGACGAGCGGTGAGAATCAGACGCGATGACGGCGAGGAGAACGAGGAGAACGATGTCGGCGGGAACGACGATGACGCCACGCGTGACGGGACTAAAAACACTGGGTCTTCCCGACGGAATGCAGGAGGCTGATCGAACGCCTCCCGATGTACCCTCCTCTTACGTGGTCCTCCCACGTAAACTCTGCTCGGCGACACGCACGACGAAACAATAAGGGAATTCAAATCGAGACAAATCGAGAGCATCACCGAAGAAGAAGAAGAAGAAGAAGAAGAAGAAGGAAAAGAAAAAAAAAAGAAAAGAAAAAGAAGGGGCCAATTTTTCGATTCTTCCAGATAATAAAAGAAAGAGAAAAGGAGAGGGGGGAAAAAAAGACGTTCGACTCGGGGCTCGATGGAAAGTATAAATTCGCCTCTGGTGTTCGAGGCTCGCCTGATAAGATTTAACGTGCGCAAACGTGCGCCGATAAGCTGCGGGAAGTAAAGAAGTCGTTCTCCGCGGCGCGATAAGCTTGGTTGCAAAAATGGACTGCTGCAACTACGTCGAGGCATACGCGGCAGGCAGCCACTTTTATCATCAACAACAACAACACTACTTTTGCTATGATAACGCGAGCAACGATTACGGTGGCTACGAGCCGCAGCCGATCTCCACCGCGATCGAAACTACGGCGCGATACAACGGGACTGTGCCGCCCGGCTATCCACCAGGTAGATGTTTAACATTAGCAACAACAACCATATCAGACAGTAGTTTTAGTTTGCTCGAGTCGTTTGCATATATTGCATACTTGTTGTATACTTCTCCTCGAGACAGTTCAAGCGAATTGTCGTGAACGTTGGAAAGGATTGCACCTTTTCTTTGGAGAACAATTTTGTAACGTTTGTGCGTAGATTAAATCTGTAACAGAAATTCCGACAGTCCGAGAGTATTAGGAAATGGACTAATAAGATCTAACGCGCCTGCGTGACAGCCGCGACGGACTAACTCTAAGTCGAGAATCTAAACTCACTTAGGAGCAGGCCCCAAATCCTTTAACGATTTCTATTTCTCGTCTGGTTGTTCGCGCGACGAGAACGAGAAAGTATAACAAAAGTATCACGTTTGTTATTTCGGTTTCTTCAGCCAGTCACAGCTTTACACTTATTTCACTTACTTTCCTCGCTTACTTTAACATTTCGTTTGAATGTCACGCCTTTTATATTCGGTTTTATATTTCTCTTCTTTTTCTTTTTTCGCAGACTACGTGTATAATCCGAAGGAGGCGAGACTGCGGAAGGCGATGCGCGAACAGAGCCGCGAGCTGTCGAGACGATCGATCTTGCAGAGCGCGATCGCTCGGGCGGGCGTGATCGCGAGCCCGGTCACATCCGCCGGCTTCCTGGATCATCAGCACCGTTTCGGTTGCATGCCCACCGCCAGCCTGCCGATGAACTCGTCCGTGGAGCCGGACCGTGTCACGGAACCGTGGTTCCAGTCGGCCTCGCGCCCCAAGCCGATCCACTCGCCCCGTATGGCCCCGAACGATTGGTACGTCGGCAACGTGGCCGATCCTATCGAGAGATTGCAAATAATGGGCGCGATGGCCCATCAGCGTGGCCTCGACAAATGCAAGGACGCGATGAGAAACCAGGCGGTGGCCAGCGTGGCCAACACGGTGGCTGCCGAGTGCGGTGCTACGTTCTCGAGCAACGGGTACCCTGTCGACTTCACCGACGTCAACCGGGAGAGGGAGTTGCGTCGCCAGGAGAGCATGGAGTACGGCGAGTTCCCCGATGATCAGAAGTGGCATCCTTATCAGGTAGGGAAAGAGAAACCGGTCACAGTTTGGAATCTTTCGTTGACGCTTCAATCGACTGAAGCGCCTTTCATATTTCTCCCACCCGATCATGCATTTTTGAGATAAAAGAATATTCTTTCTGCAGATTTCTATAAATCCACCTGTAAATCGTCTGTGAATTTATCCACGACAACATTTATTTCTATTTGTAAATTCTTCTGTTTACTTTTGTAACTTCTCATCATAATTTCATTATAATCTTTTATCGTTTATTTTATAGTTCTTTTATAAATTTCTATAAATCTATCTATGTAAACTTCTATGAATCTATTTGTATATCTGTGTAAATTTCTATAAATCTATTTATCAGTCATTTATTTCTACAAGTTTTATCTATAAATCATTTATTTCTGCAAATCCATCTAACAATTCTTCTATGAATTTCTATAAATCTATCTCCAAATCATCTATAAATTTATCTAAATAAATCGTTTATTTCTGCAAATCTATCTGTAAATTTCTATAAATCTATCTATATAAATTTCTATAAATCTATTTATATATCTATATAAATTTCTATGAATCTATTTATATATTCTATGTATTCATATAAATTTCTATAAATCTATTTATTAATCATTTATTTCTGCAAATCTATCTATAAATACTTCTATAAATCTATTTATATACCTATATAAATTTCTATGAATCTATTTATATATTTATATAAATTTCTATAAATCGATTTATTAATCATTTATTCCTGCAAATCTATTTATAAATACTTCTATAAATCTATTTATATACCTATATAAATTTCTATGAATCTATTTATATATTTATATAAATTTCTATAAATCGATTTATTAATCATTTATTCCTGCAAATCTATTTATAAATACTTCTATAAATCTATTTATATACCTATATAAATTTCTATGAATCTATTTATATATTTATATAAATTTCTATAAATCGATTTATTAATCATTTATTTCTACAAGTTTATTTAAAAATTCTTCTATAAATTTCTGTAAATCCATCTAAATAAATTTATTTCTGCAAATCTGTCTATAAATACTTCTATAAATTTCTATAAATCTATCTATATAAATTTCTATAAATCTATTTATATATCTCCATAAATTGCTATGAATCTATTTGTATATTTATACAAATTTCTATAAATCGATTTATTAATCATTTATTTCTACAAGTTTATTTAAAAATTCTTCTATAAATTTCTGTAAATCTATCTAAATAAATTTATTTCTGCAAATCTATCTGTAAATACTTGCATAAATTTCTACAAATCTATCTGTAAATCATCTATAAATCTATCTACAAATCTATTTGTAAATCATCGATTACAGAATGGCGGAGGTGCTCACCAACATCCCAGAACGTCTCATCCGCCACAGATGAGCAACATTCTTCACCCAAACATTCAGAGTCCGGGTTCACAGGGGCACGGATCGTGGGGTCAGTTTTGCCACGGTATGCTACCACGTAAGTGATTGGGAAACCACGTGCAAATCGCAATTGAAAAATTAGTCTAGAGAAGCAAAGCCCAATTCGAGAATCTATCGTTTTTCACACGTTATTGCAATGTAACAGACACACCGCCTATGCCTCGGAACGTTGGGGTTCGTGGACCACGACATACAATGTTGTTGCGGGATCGTATGCCTCCTGGACACTGCGAATTTCCCGAGGAAGCGCCGCGGATGGTGTATCATCCAAGTAAACTCGATCTCGAGAACGTACGAGCGTCGTACACACCTTCCGAGCACCAGGTTCTTCCTCCTTTTTAATTTTTTATTACGTAGAATTACTCAGGTGTCAATCTGAGAGTCGCACAGCTTAGAAACCGAGTGACATCGTGTTACTGGAAATTCAGGAACGAAGAAAGTAAAGAGAATCGTTGACGAAATGTTTTTCTTCTACTGAAAAAGTTCATTCTCCTTCGTTCTGCGGTGCGCGCAGAAATTTCTCTTCAACGACAGAAACATTTTTCCAGATGCCAAGATTACTCGAAACCTCGGTCATGGATTCGGCGTCCACGCTGAGGATTCGCCGTGAGGATGACGGGCCCAGGTGGGAGCCAGGCGCCATGAACAACAGAATGTCTATGGACAACTTAGCTCCAACAAGGGTATATAGTCGCATCGCTGACTTATAATTCGCAACGCTGTCCAACGGCTTTTGCAAATGACAATATTTTGGTAATTGTGAAAATACAATTCGTGCAGGAGTCTAGCATGTCGCGCGAGAAGGAGAGCGAGTCCCGTCGATCGGCTGCTGAACGATTCGAGCCGAAGAAGAAGAGCGTCAGCAAGCAACCGTTGCCCGGTTTTCACCAGGCGTTCGGCTCGACGGAGATCGGCAGGTTCTCCAGATCGGAGTTCTTCGTGAACATGGTGGGCGAGAGCGGCGGCAACGTGGACGTCGCCGACACGGAAGCTACCAACGTAAGTACGGATCGTATGTCAGAGGTGAACGGATCGGCAGTGACCACAGCGACGCACGACACATCGGTGGTAACCACGACAGCGACGACCACCGTCAGATCGTTCGACGGCGTCGACGACAACGAGGAGGCGAGTTTCGACGACTCGAGCAACGACCTCGTTGCACCGACGTCGATGGGCATGTACTGCGGCCAACCAAGCATTCCTCGTTGGCACAGTCCTCACGTAGGCGCTATAGGTAGCGAAATTTAAGCGAGTCTTTAATCCTTTCGCGGGCTAACGCCACGTTTCCTCCTCCATTGAAAGTCTGACACGATAGCGGACTATGTGTGGTTCTAGTCATTTTCAAAAAGAAAGAAAGAAAGAAAGAAAGAAAGAAAGAAAGAAAAAAGGCGAGCAGGAGTCGCTGCAGCGTGACTTTCCTTTCTGGATATGCAACGGTTTGCGAAGAAGAATCTTTGGAAGGAAACCTGTTGCTGGTCCCCAAAGGAACGGGGGAGCGAGGTGACTGAAAACAAATCTGTACGTTCTGTGATGTATACGTAGACATTTAGAAAACTCGATCGAGCGTATTTACATTTATTCTGTGTGTGTAACGATTAAATTATTACGAAGCGGTGTTGCACTTAACCTGCGGGATTGTTCGACGGAATTCCGATTAGCCCTCGAGAGGAATTAACGACTCGCCAAGGACGTGACAATTGCGTCCAGCTGTCTGTAGGATTAAATTTATTCCCTCCGATGTTCAAAAGTAACCCGACGACACTTTGTACTTTGGGGAATCTCACCTTGTCTCCCGTTCGAAATTCACGGATCTGTAAAATTGGACACGTTTCTCCAACTTGTACAAATGTTATGCGTTAGGTGTTCATTCGTCGGAGAACCGAGCAAATGGCGTACGAAACGTCCCGGCAGGCTGCGCACAGAGTTTGTCGAGATTGTGCCTTTAAGAGAACTGTGAAGGAACTGTTAAAGGTCTTCAAAAATTTCCGATCGAATCAAAGATTAAAAAAAAAACGAAAAAAAAAAAAAAGAAGAATCAAAAAGCAGCACGATGTTCGTGGATCTCGTACGTCAGCTATCAACGTTGAGCAACTTACGCGATGTCGTTGTATCGAACAAAAGAGATATCTCATATCACGTTTAAAAAAAAAAAGAAACAAAAAAAAAAAGAAAAAGAAATTTCCTTTTCTTCCAGAAAAGTATCGAACGCTGTTTAAAGTATCTTTTTTAAAGATGAAGGATCCGAAAGGAACGTGAAAGATAACTGCAATTGTTAGGTAAACGTGGAATTGGTAGGTTGCTCAGACCTTGATAAAGGAATATAATCAAAAAATGTGTCGATGAAAGTATTTAGTCGACACCTTCCATCAAGTTGTTAGATGTCGCCGATGATACACTACGTCTAGTGTATACCGACGATGAATTATATGAATATATTAAATATATATTTAAAGAAGTATATATATATATATACACATATATATATATATATACATATATTGTACTTATATGTATAATGGAGGAAACGAAAACGCGCGACGAAGAAGTATATAAGTTATTTGGTAGAGTATTTAGACGACACGTATTGCCGCGCGGAGAAACGTATAAATAAAAGTGAAAACATTAAATATTGCGGACGTAGAAAGTCGAGGAGCCGACGAAATATACACGCCCTTTCGTTCGGTGAAAAGTATGCTTTTTCTGAAGGGAATGCACGGTACTCGGAACTTTATTCCTTTTTTCTTTTTCTCTCTTTCTTTCGTTGTTTCAATAACGACGATAAGAGAATGATAAATCTCGCAGCCTCGGTATGTATGCACCAAGGACACGAAGTAGTAAAGAGATTTGAATCATAATGTGTCGTACGTTAAGACTGTAGTTGTAACGCAAGCTATTATCATCGGGATTTTTTACATGTCCATTTTTTAACGTGTGTTTAATATTCAACACTTGCTGTAGCAACTTTGGGACCTTTTTGAGAAATATATATATACGTATATAGGGAGAGAAAAAAATTCTTTTTAGGAATGTCCCGCGTGTACTGTGACATCCCGGCTGCGATGCGTTATGTTAAAAAAGATGCGACGTTTATTTTATTACAAACATATATAATGTAAGTGTAGTTTATTAATTCAACCACTCTGTTGACTTTTTGCTGATTTAATTCGCTATTTGTGATGCTCGAAAGCCGAGAGAAGTTTTAAACTAATCTCCGTGTCTCTCCTCTGCTTTGTGATCGAGCTCCGAGTCCCGTGCAGGCACCTGTGACTCGTGTTGATTGATCTATCGGTACATCGACTTGACATAATTCGTGCCAGCCACCCTGTACCTACAATGGGACCAAATTAAACGAGCAAGCTTTTATTTCGCGTTCACCGTCGCGCTTACGTCCCGCATATTTTATCGTGTATCGGAAAACCTTCCCTCGTTCGCTCGATCGCTTCGAACAGGAGGCGAAAAATTCGTATTGGAACGCGTTCTTTAACACGCTCAATGTTACTACTTCCGTTGTGCAACTTAAATTTTTTTTTTTTTCTTTCCTCTAGAAGAAGACAATTTCGCGAATTGTAAGAGCTTTCGATCTCTCCTTCACCCCCCCCCCCTCTCTCGTATGTCATGTTAAATTAAATTGACTTTTACACAAACTCGGGTCGTTTCGATCTCTGTAACATGGAGCGTGTTAAACGGGAGAATCTCTCTGTGAAAGTAAAAAAACGAACGGAACGAAAAGAACTGCATAGTGTTCTCGTCGAAGTGAGGAGGAGCTTTGGGAGAGCGTCGTGTTGATCGTTGTTCGCAATGAATGATAATCGATCGAGCGTGATAGACTAAACACTTTTAACGACGATAACGTTCGACCTTTTTCTTTTTCTTTTTTTTTTGTTCTTGGCCGTTGTAGAAACGTCCAAGGGGCATGGAATGATGTGTAAATGCTGTGATTTGTTTTAAAATTAAAAACGAGCGTAGTATTTATAGCGGTGTACACAGCGTCGGCAAAAGACGAGTTGTGATAAAACGATGAGAAAGAAAGAGAGAGTAGAGATTTCCGTAAGAAATTTTTGACGATACACATAATTGTCACACATAGAAATCATCAGGGTTCTCTTGCACAATTGGACTGTTGTAACGCTGTAAACAGAATCAGAGGAGCCCTTGCAGAGAACAACGATGCGAAACGCCATTCACTTTCAGTCATTACTATGCATTCTGCTTGAAGATAGAAATAATATATTTTAAAAGTAGAAAAAGGGTATCTTTGCTTTTCTACGTACGAATGATTTAAGAACAAATAGCATGGTGGTAGCCAATCTTTTTCTGCCCATGCCTCACCTAAGCTTTGGTCTTCAAAATTCTGTTGCCCCACCATTGTGCGACACATAATTCTTGTTATTCAATAACTGACAATTTTTGACGTGGAGGAAGCCTAAAGGACCATGAACTTGGTCTTAAACAAGCTTCCATGAAAGAAAAAGATTAGAATGTCAAGTCTCCATTGAAAGAAATGCAAAAAATTCACTAGTTACTCAAATTGTACCAGTAACACAAACTGGTAACTCAAATTGAGTTATTAACAATTTTTCTGCATTTCTTTCTGTTTTCTTTCATGGATATCGTGTGTCTTTGGAGGCTCGCTTAGTTAAGCCTCCTTTCAGCCTTCCTCTACGTTAAAGGTTCACTTGCAATTGGCGTTTTCTGCAAGAGCTCTTTGATCCTGCGTGTCGCATCTCAAAAGTTGTCAGTGTCGACCCGGCGAAGTCACAAAACCACCAATCCAGAGGTGGAGGAGAGGACGTTTGCAACCATTTGTTAGTTTCTATCAGCGAAGATCATTGTGCAAGAGAGCTTAGAGAGTTGTTTCAACATTTTTGGATTAACTAGTAAGTGCACAAAAACCAATCCAATGAGAGGTCCAATCTTTCGAAACCGTTTCTGCCATTGATTCAAGAAACTTGGCGACTCTCGATCCCTCCCCCTCTGTTTCAACCCCTCTCGCGGAAGCAAAATTCCGTCGATACGCTGTATTTATTGTATCACTCATGCAGAGCGTGAAACGTGGAACGTATCGAGCGTGAACCAAGGGGGACGAGGGAAGAGTGATCCTTTCGCTGTATACTATACGTCCGTTACGATTGATTTTCGCACATTCACAGTTTTCTTTCTTTCTTTTTTTTTATTTTTTAACAGCGAGTACAGCGGAGGGGGAAAAAAAAAGATCACAGTCAGCGTGTCGAGCTGAGAGAAGCAACCTCGCGAAGTTTCTTGAAAAATTTCTGAATCGCGCCCTGAGTCGTCTCCGCGATGTTCCGCGAAGTCCTATGACGAAATTTCTAGCGACGCGTTAATTACTTGGAGATTTTAATAATAATTTTGTTACTTTATTGACCCTGATCTTGTTGGCGATGCAGACTGTAATATATAGATATATTGCGATCTATACGTCGTATCGATTTAAGGACGAATTAAACAAAAAAAAACCATAATCCGCGTTTCATTATTGGCAACGATATTAAACGTAGAGGTAGAGAAGCGGTAAAAAGAAAAAAAAAGCAAGAAAAAAGGAAAGAGGAAGAAGGAGGGCCAGCCAAGTGGAAGATGATAGAAGAAGGAAGAGAGAGAGAGAGAGCAATGTCAAAAACTAACTGAAAACCGTATTGTAACTCGTAAACGACTTTTCTGTCTAATTATTAGCTCTATTCGTTCTGACCCGGTAGGAAACGTGTGTTAAAGGGGGGGAGGGGGGGGGATCGAGAAAATGTATAGAAAACGAGAAACCATTTAAACGATTACCCATTGTACGTCTCTTTAAATCCTACAAGTGCCAAGTTGGTGAGAAAAAAAGTCCTTACAAAGGCTCGTGTTATTAAGTATCAATTTCCAACGCAGGAGAGAGAGAGAGAGAGAGAGAAAGAGAGAGAGAGAGAGAGAGAGAGAGAGAAGTATATTTCGCGAAGAGATTAACTCTATCAGTTTACCGAACCAATCAAACATGGAGCTCGACAATCCGGTTCAGATTATATCAGTATTATGTCAGACGTTGTCGGGATGGAACGCTCGACGTACAAGGGAAACTCGAAGACACGCTTCGTTTTTCTCGTCGTGCTTTCGAAAAGCAGAGAGAGAATTTCGCCCGAATTTCGGAAAGTCAACAATCAAGCTGATAGAGTTTGAAACGCGTGAGAACGCAAGGAAGAGTGACGGAACTTAATGATGACGAAAACGTGCTTTTATTCGTATTGTACGCAGTTAGGCAGCATGGAACCGCGACGGTACTACTGAGAGCTTAAAAAAAAAAAAAAATTCACCTTCAATCTCGAACGCGTCGAGGAGGCGGTCGAGGTCCTCTGTTAATTCGGATTCAAACTGGGAAATTGGTGAAAGTGGAGGGGAGAGGGGGGGGGGGAAGCGTTTGAACAAAGATCGAGCAGTGGTGAGGCGGTGTAAAACGTGAAAATAAACGGATGTCTGTGCGACACAGTAAAAGAAGTAAAAGAGAAAGGAAGAGAAAAAAAAAAAAAATCACGAAATCATATCGACTCTTCTTAATTTATTCTCCTCAGCCACTCCCGAAGACCTACCTCTCCGCTCCTGTCGTCTTTCCTCTCTCGTCGAGGTCCTGCGGGATCCTGGGCACCTCATCGGCCGCCATTCACAGAATCACCGAGAGCAGGGAGATCCTGTCGCGAATCATGCAGGAGGAGTGCTGCTGGTTCGCCACTCAGTCCAGATGCGGTGTCTCCAGGATTTCCGACGGCGTCGTCGCGGTAAGAGCGAATCGTACTGACGAGAACGAAACTCGAGTCGACAGAGAAATCCTTCTCTCGATACTTTGAAGTTTATTTGGAAATTGAAGTCTTGCCTTTAAGTCTTGCTACAAACAGCGTTTTTAAAATATTCCTCTTTAATATCTATGGATGTAAGTTTGATCATTCGACGATCATATAACTTTTCGAGTATTTTTATTTAAATTTTTTAAACATCGCTTCAAGGACTTAACAAGGGGTGGGGGAGGGAACGTAAGGGAGTAGCAACGAGCTTAAGAATATTTCGAAACGAACGAACGTTGGTCGATTTGACTCTCAAATTTATACGAGTTGAATGGATTAATCGAAATTTGTAGGGAAATCTTGATGCAAAGAGATCAATCTGTTGGTATTTTTCGTGCCAGCAACCAAGAAACAAAGAATGCTTCTGTCGAGGCAACACGATGACCCATCCGACGGAGGTGTTACGTCGACGAGGGAACTACGAGTCGTTTATCAGCGAAAGAGGCGACGGTGGCTACGTGATAATCAGCGCATCCGCCGATGGGAATCGAAACAACAACAACAACAACAGCAGCAGCAGCACCGAGGACGATGAATTTGGCAACGAAATTTGCAAGAAAACAACTTCGAAGAAAAATCCGGAGAAAAACGATGGGAGCATTTGATAAGATTACTTCCAAGCTCTTACGTTCTCTAACGAGGTATCAGTTTTCATTGGTGAGGGTAACATTTGCTGAAAACTACAGAGTTTATACGTAGAAAGACAGTGAACAAGTCACTAAAAGGATTCTGTTTAATTTCTGCTTATTAAGTACAGTGACTCCCATTAATATTCGAACGCTTGAATATTGAAGGTGTTATAATAGCTTTTCTGTTTTTTCTATTTTTATTTCATTTGATCACATCAACCACTTGTGCAGATTATTAGCAATTTGGAATCTTACAATTCATTGTAAAAGTTAGACACTGTCTTAGAAAGTGTGTATTAATTTAAAGGCTGCTTCTTTAGCTTTCAGGTTGTCAGTCAGGGAACTACCTGTGTTTAGTCCATGTCTATTCGCATTTTCTGCACTGGACAATAATACGTTTCACTGTCAATTGAACTTTGCACAAAACACAAGTTGGGAGATCTTGAGATTGGTGTTATGATTTTGTTGAAAGAAATTGTGTGATGGTGAACTTGGATTCACTTCAAAGCTTGAAACCTCTACTTTTAAAATAGACGTTTAAAATCGTTCATTTTATACTAATTGTGAGATGTTCTCATACCGCAAGATGTTCATGTAGCAGATGACAAAGTGAAGACACTTTTCTCATCTAAAATGCTATGAATTGTCTGACTGTACAGAAACGTTGACAAATTTCTTTTGTGACTGAATCCACGGTAGATTTGAAGATTAAAACCTCCTCTTTGCAACAACCCTTCAAAACTTATTACAATTTCTTGAAAAGTTCAATAAAACAGCGACAAAGAATTACACATGAAGCTTGCCAAGGTGGCATTGTGAAGGAGAGACTTCAATCTTCAGACCTATTATAAATTTAAAAAAATTAGACAATTCATAGCATTTTCTAGAAAAAATATCTGAGAATAAAACGGACAGTGCATTTCGAGAACGGAGACTTCAAGGCTACCGACTTCTTTTCTCACAAAAGTTACAACAGTTTAAATATTTGACGTCTGAATATTAATAGGAGTCGCTGTAAATATAACGCCGTTTCTTTCAAATATAACGTTCAATACTTTAACACATTCGTGATACATATAATATTAATATTCGAAACAAGCATAAGAACATGTGTGTGGAAATATTAGAAACAACAGATGTGTACCGTGTTCTCTTGTACATTTATCTAAAGTTGATCACAAAATATACTTATTTGTAAATTGAAAACCGGAGTATAATTGCGCGATTAAACTACGCAGAGAAGCGTGATTAGTTAATCTCTGTACGTAAAAAAATCAAGAGATATGCTCGTTATACTTATAAAACCGAAATCGGAGTATAATTGCACGATTAAACTGCAGAGAAGACTAGTTATACTACAGAAAAGCGTGAGTATATTAATCTCTGTACGTAAAAATCACGAAATATAGTTATAAAATCAAAATCGGAGTGTAATTGCACGATTAAACTACAGAGAAGAGTAGTTATACTACAGAGATGCGTAATTAATTAATCTCTGCGCGTAAAAATCACGAAATATACTTGTTACACTTATAAAACCGAAACCGGAGTATAGTTGCACAATTAAATTACAGAGAAGAGTAGTTACACTACAGAGAAACGTAATTAATTAATCTCTGCGCGTAAAAATCACGACATATGCTTGTTATACTTATAAAACCGAAACCGGAGTATAATTGCACGATTAAACTGCAGAGAAGATTAGTTATACTACAGAGAAGTGTGAGTAATTAATCTCTGCAAGTAAAAATCATGAAATATAGTTATAAAATCAAAATCAGTGTGTAATTGCCTGATTAAACTACAGAAAAGACTAGTTATACTACAGAGAAGCGTGATTAATTAATCTTTAGACGTAAAAATCACGAAATATAATTATAAAATCAAAATCGAAGTGTAATTGCACGATTAAACTACAAAGAAGAGTAATTATACTACGGAGAAGCGTGATTGATTAATCTCTGTACGTAAAAATCATGAAATATGCTTGTTATATTTATAAAACCGAAACCGGAGTATAATTGTACAATGAAACTACAGAGAAGAGCAGTTACACTACAGAGAAGCGTGATTAATTAATTTCTGTACGTAAAAGTCACGAAATATGCTTGTTATACTTACAAAATCGAAACCGGAGTATAATTGCACGATTAAACTACAGAGAAGACTAGTTACATTACAAAGAAGCGTAATTAATTAATCTCTGTACGTAAAAATCACAAAATGTGCTTGTTATACTTATAAAACCGAAACCGGAGTATAATTGTACAATGAAACTACAGAGAAGAGTAGTTACATTACAAAGAAGCGTAATTAATTAATCTCTGTACGTAAAAATCACGAAATATGCTTGTTATATTTATAAAACCGAAACCGGAGTATAATTGTACAATGAAACTACAGAGAAGAGTAGTTACACTACAGAGAAGCGTGATTAATTAATTTCTGTACGTAAAAATCACGAAATATGCTTGTTATATTTACAAAATCGAAACCGGAGTATAATTGCACGATTAAACTACAGAGAAGACTAGTCACATTACAAAGAAGCGTAATTCATTAATCTCTATACGTAAAAATCACGAAATGTGCTTGTTATACTTACAAAACCGAAACCGGAGTACAGTTACATAATTAAACGACAGAGAAGTGTAATCGATTAATCTCTGTACATGAAGAAAATACGTGAAAACACGAAATTCGAAATCTCCCCGAAGAGAAAAACAAGTGGTGAGGAAGGGGACCGGTTGGGGATCGGTAAAAGGTGGATTGATCGCTTCCGTGTGCCGTGTAAGTGCCTGGTAAGAAGGCTGGTAGAATGCAATTTGTAAATAGAGGAACAAAGGCCCATCCGCGGATGGTTTATCACACGGCGGTGATCGTAATCGTGGATGTTTATTGTAGATGAGCGAGGAGAAGGCGGCGTTCTTCAAACAGCGGAGAGGCGAAACGAACATCGTAGACCCCCCAATCCGTCAGGCGAGCTACCTAACCGGCAGGTAGTGACGGGGCCCGGGATATCCGTATCGTAAACGAGTCGCGCGAGACTGGGCGAACATCGTGTAGAATCTTCAGAGGTAAAAACTTTCTTTTTCCTTCTTCTTCTTCTTCTTCTTTTTCTTTTTTCTCCATTTTCATTTTTATCGTTATTTTTATTGCCGCCGCCGATGCAACTCGAGATATATCCGGGACAGCAACTCTTCTGGACGGCTGGCCGATCGGAAAATTTTAAATATAATTAAATAAATAGAAGTTAGTACGATCGCGTCGTGCTGGACGTTTTTCTTTTTTTTTTTTTTTTTCTCTTGTTTTTCATCTCGAGAGTATTAATTTGCTTAGCATCGATATTTATTCTTTGATTTCACTAGGGGAGAACAGTCAATCCTGTTGGCAAAGATTTCCGAGTCGATAATCAGGGGGCTTCTGTATTGCGAATTTTTTTCTTTTAGACTTGACTCTAGTTGTGATGACACAGCCATAACAATTCGACGTCCAAAATGTGCGATACGACGCCCCTTGTTGCAATGTGAGCCCACGTTATTTTTTTTCTTCCTTCCTTTTGCCACAAATATAACACAAGACATCAGAATTGTTTTGCACACTGTTTTCGCGTCGTGAGAAACGCATTTGTTCAAACGAGACCACTCATTTAGTGAAACTAACACTAATAAAACAAGTTTTCGTTACTTCTTTCAGAAGTGCATCCTTTGGCAAGCTTAAATCCGGGGATACAATCTAAGAACAGGCCAAATTTGATTATTTCAAAAAAATGAGAGTCAACTCGGTCAAAGTGAATACATTAGGCTGGTTAGGGGATGTAACTGTGCTTTTTGCGCTTTTCTAACTTTCCCTCGTATCTTTTTCCAGATTCCTGCGTTTATCGTGCTCGTGTCACACGTAATTTTGAAGAGAGTACATTCTGGCCTGTATTTTGGAATCAATCACGCCTGTTTCAAAGACTCTTTTAAGCGTTCAGACAATTTCTTGGAGGGGAGAAACTGTCTGGAAAGCAAGCTGATGCTTGTCGAAGTTTCATCGACTCCAGGGAAGTCTACGTTAATAATACAGGAAGAAACTTGTATTGCGACAAGAAGCAAATGACGACTACTTCGATTAATAAGAAGCTCTGTAACTGAGAGAGAGAGAAGACAAGCGCAATCGTTTATCAATTTAACGTGATACGAAATCAGGACCCTCAGATGGTTATATACAAATCTTTGGTAACGTGAAGGAAGCTTTCTTCTTTTGTTCTCCAAGCAAGCAATTCCGAGAAACGCTGGAAACGACAGAAAATCGCAAATTGGGAACGTCCGTTCGCCTCGACCTGGACCTGGAAAGTATCGGTATCAAAGGGAAAAGGGAAACAAATTTTACTTCGCTAATAAACGAAGGTGCACGGGCGAAGTAAAGGTTGAGCAAATTAAGGATCGACCGATGGGTTCGTTTAACAGAGAGACAACCGTCTCCGTTACGTTGTTTGGTGGCTTCTCGCGGCACCGATATCGCGACTTTTCCCCGTCCACGAAATTACTAGGACAAATATATCCAGCCAGGGCTGAATGGTTACTTTAGCCAGCCAAAACCGCGCGCGATAGCAAACAAGAAACGGTCCTGCTCAAATATATCTACTCGCGATACAACACGCCGGCCAGTCGGACGTAACTTGCTGTTGATTTTTGTCATTTGACTCGAAATGGACTCAGTCAGGCTGTCTCTCCGTTAACTGTTTCGCCTTGCAGTTGCGCTCGTCCGACTCGTTTTCTTTTTTTTTTTTTCTTTTTCTCTCTTCTTTTTTTCTTTCTCTTTTTCTCTCTTCTTACAGAAACGAGCACGATCTCCGACGAAACGGCTGCGCTCGTCTTAGACAGGCAAACATCGTTCGCAAAGGGGACGAAGGAAGATCCACCGTTTTGTACCACAACTTGGTAACTATAACCAATTGACAAACGATTGTCCAATTATTCTAAATTGTAGTTACCTATGTGTAAGTCAGGTAGCTTCTTCCTTTCCTCGCCCTGGAGAAAGAACGTCACAGTCCCGAACAACACTTGGAAACCAGAGGACGAACAAGATCGGAACAGTCGAGTACCCCGTGATCCGTCGTAATCTTCGTCACGGCGTGATCTCGATCGATCTCTCCGATCGTTAAAAAAA